CGATGCCTTGGACTAATTTGGACACCTCTTGAGTGCCGACAAGCAGTGTCCATTATCCAGTCTGCCGCATAGTTGAATATTGTGGAGGAAAGGATGCAGCCCTGACGGACACTTGTTCTTATTTCGAAGGAATCTGTCAGTTCCCCACACAGACTTGCGCCGATGTGCGCTCATAAAATGTCTTTATGAGGCTAATAATTTTCTCTGGAATACCATCATGTTCCATCACCCTCTAAAGCGCCGCTCTATAAACTGAATCAAAGGCAGCCGCAAAGTCGATGAAAAACATGACAGTGGGTTGCAAATATTTGAAGCGATGTTCCAACACCCTTCTCAACGTGAATATCTGGTCAGTACAACCGCGCCCTGGTCTGAAACCAGCTTGATTAGGGCGCATCCTGCTGTCCCGTACTTCCATAAGTTTGTTGAGTACCAGGGAAGCAAAGATTTTTGCTGAGACGTCTAGTAAGCTGATTCCTCGATAATTGTCGCAGCATGTCCTATCATCTTTCTTGAGAATTGGGAGCAGAATTGCTTTGCTCCAATCACCTGTTAATATACTTTTTTCCATACTAAAGAGTACATTTGTTGAAGGTGCGTTATGAAGGACGATGTACAGCAATTGAAAAACTCAGCCCAAGGACCATCTTCTCCTAGAATTTTATTAGCCTTAAGCTAATGGATAACTGAAATAATTTCTTCTTCTGTTGGAGGCTCGCAATTGCAAATATATGCTTCGGCAAACGTATCAGCTATATTAGAGGCAACAGATGGCGCTTCATGGTTAAGTTTGGTCTCTCTTAAGAATTCTTTCCATCTTATGAGGTGATCCTTAATACTTTTGATCATTATGCCATTGCTGTCTCTTACCATTTCACTGATCATTCCCCGAGTCGTAGTTGTTTTATGAAGAAGGCAGAATAGTTTCCTATTGTTGCCTAATTGAGCCGCCGCCTCCAATTTTGAGGCCATGTCACTCTAATAATGATTTCTGTTCCGCCTTGCTGCTTTCGTTGCAAATTTTCGAAGAACCCGGTAGTCAGGATCACCTGACATTCGTGTTTTGGCAGCTTTTCCAGACAATTAGACAGTTGCTTCCGATACCCAACTAGTGCACTTCCTACTAATATGTCGGAGTCATCCCTTTAGTTTGGACCAGTATTCGTTTGCCGTTCCAAAAAAATCATTGGTATTTAAACCATGAGATGTTTCAATAATTCGGTTTGAAATGCGCTCACTATCCCCGAATTTTTTAGTTTGAGATAGTTGAAGGATCTTGGAGGATACTATTTTCTGCAATTTGTCAATTTTATGCGGATCTTGAAACATAACATGGTCAGATCCATGAAGATCCCGTTTCAGCTCCGCGATAGGAACGACTATCTAGTACGGAACTCTTCCAACGGCGACTGACTAAGATATAATCAATCTGGTTGAAGTGTTGGTTGTCCGAGGAGTTCCACGTGACTAGATGTTTTCTATGATGCCGGAAGCAAGTATTAATAACAAAAAGTTCATGCTCTTCGGCATAACGAAGAAGACGTTCCCCATTGGCACACCGGTCTCCGATGCCATATTTGCCAATTGTTGAGGACATCGCAGCATTATGACCTACGCGAGCATTCCAGTCCCCCCCCCCCCCCCCCGATTATGATTATGTCATATTTCGGTAGAGACTTTGTTAGCAGTTGAAGTTCCGCATAGAACTTGTTTTTGTCATGGTTATCTGCCTATAGAGTTGGAGCATAGACACTGATGACCGAGATATTGCAGAATTTACCCTTAAAACGGGTATAGACCATACGGTCGTTTACCGGTTTCCACTCAATCAAAGCAGAATAGGCCTTGTCAGACATGACAATGGCTACGCCATTTCGTCCCGAGTTATCCGAAACCGTATCAAGAATGCTCCTTCACCACAGAGTCACTTGGGAAGAGAGATACAGGTGGGCTCCCAGCAGTCACCCGGATTTTTGACACAATGGCAGGTTACTCTTGCCGAAAAACAAACAAAAATTAAATTTGCAGAAAATAATAAAATAGACAATGAAATTTATATATATATATATATATATTTTGTCTTACATATTTGCGACCCAGTAATATGCTATGTTCATATATATAGGACACATATGTGTGAAATCATATGATATAAGATATGAGGAACAAACAACCATGTTTAAATTCTATACGACCAGTGAAAACTTTAGAATTAAATATTACAAATGATATTTATAAAAACCTGACAAACCCTATCGTGTCGTGAGCTACACGATGCATCTAACCAAAATTTTTTTAATAAGATCTAAAGACTGTTTCAATAACCAAACCGACCATCTACCAACGCCCCCTTAGTACTGTTTCAAATAAAATGAAAAATGACCAATGAACGCATATATATGAAGTCTGCACAAAAACCAAAAGCTTCAACGCCATCAACAACTTTCCATAACGTTTAAGAGATTCATTGCCTAAAAAATTCCTGTTAACGCTGCTTTCATTAGGCCTGGATACCAGATACCACTGTTTACACTTGCGAAAGGCTGCAAATTTTCACTGAATGGAACTTCGGTTTATTTAAAATTCATATTTGTAATAATGTCAATGTTTAAGCAAAAACGTAAAACTTTAAGATCTATTTTTTCATATATATGCTTTCACTCTTTCCAACTTAACTTTTATTAAAATCAAATTTTAGCAATTTGAAGAAACGAAAAAATACGAATGATCCAGAAATAAAAAAAAAATAATATAATATATGTAAGAAATAATAATATATGTAATAAATAATATATGTAAGAAAAGACGATTAATGTTCATCATTATTTTCTTCTATCATTTCTTACTAAAATCCTTGGAAATAAATTTCTTATAAATTTTATGACGGTTTACAAACAATGGTTGAACTATTTAAACTGGTGCAAAGCAGATGAAAAAAGAAAACGTGATATTAAAAATATTCACGCCTTCTTCATCAAAAATTTGCTAGAAACATTGCACATAATTAGTGCAAAAATTTTGGTGTGATCTTTTTAATTACATTAAAGGGCTCGAATATTGCCAGTTTTGGAGCCAGCCTCATTTAATGACTGATAAATTTATTCTGATGAAATAATGCCACGTTCAGGTGACTTAGTTGCTCCCACATTTATTCTCGAAACTTTTTTCCTAATGCTTTGAAGTAGTTTTTCTCGAACTTCCAAAGTCTCTGCACTCGGCGATATTTTACCAATTTCAGTAAAAATGGCTACAGGTTTATGCAATAAATCACGTTTTTCCGATGACTCCATAAATTTTGCAGCAGAACTGAACTCCATATCTACAAAAGAAATATACTGGGTAAATAAGGGTGGGTCAAGACTATTTCATCTTATCTTAAAATAGATTTCGATGACTATAACAATAACCGTTAATGCAATCATACAAATATTACCTTGCTTCGCATTAATGATGTGCTCAGATTTTTCACTGCCGATTGGCAATAAAATGTCGGTTTTATGAGACTGATTATTTCCTGATAAGATCGTAGATGCCGCACAAAGAGATGTTGACTGATATGACATATTCTGAAATATTTGCGGACAAAATATTTCACAAGTCAATCAAGTTATTTTTTTTTAGAAATGAGCCCTTATTTAACTTATATATAAATATATATATATAATATTTTAAAACTAATAAAACAGTCAATCTCGATAGACACATATTATAGATTAAATAAATTATCCTATGACATATAATGCTGCGGCTACTTCTCAAAATTCCTGGTCAGGCTCACGTTAATGACTGCTAGAAATATTCACCTTATGGATAGCTGGATATCTAGCTACCTCTCGCACTTTTTTGACAGGGCTATTCTTATCACTATAAGGGGCCATGCTGTTGTAGGACATAAAGGAATAAAAAAGAACTTATGAGGAATTTAAATTATAAACTGCTTGGACAAAGGTGAGAGAACTGGATTTACCAATATCATACAATACCGTGGTAATATAATATTGTAAATTATTAATGAATGAAGTTTTAGAATAAGGTAGTTAAAATTCTTTCAATCGTCAAAAAACAATTTTTATAGTTTCCAATTAACATATTTTCGATCTTGTTTGTGGCTGAGAAACATGATGGATGATATTATCCCCCTTTGACCACTCATTTACGATATATTTTACGGATTAGCCGAATGGAGAAAATCTCACATAATTCCATTCACCTTCGTTCAAATACTACTTGCATTAACAGACACAGCTGGTTAAAGCACATTCTCCTCATCCACCACAAAAGTTTACACATATTTTATTATTTGCTAAAGCCTATGATGGGAGGCGTCAAAAGCGAGGAGGGCCAATCAAGACTTGGAATGATAAATTCATGAAAGATTTTGAACGTATAGATGGACCACAAATATATGGACTTAGACAATGGAAAAAGGAATGGCTTCTATTACTGTCGACGATGGCATCAGATAGCATAGCATGGAAACGTTCACTTGTAGCCAGTGGGGCCAGCCTAACCAGTAATGGTGACAGCTGTTGAAAAAAAATTAATATATAACCTCATAATAATGAATATAACCAGTCATGCATCCTACTTTTCACTTCTTTTAGTAGCGCGTATAGAAATTTTGTAAAATTTTGTAAATTTTGCAAATAGTTTAAGAATACAAAAATAATACAAAAGCAGACAGAAATACCTAATAATTTTTCGCATGCACAGTTCAGTGCAGCAATCTAATTAGTTTTTACTTTGTATAATAAATTTGAATTTATGAATCAAATAATGCCAATAAAAAATTTAATATATATGCAGCCAAGAAATTTCATTACTTTGCTGAATATTCCGATAAAAAATATCAAAAATCAAAATTGCACTACTCTGATACAACCAAAAAATAATGGGAAAGAAACAAACAAAATTAAGATCCTCCATATGAGAGCAAAATTTATTGGCATACAAGTGGAAATAGTTTTCTATAACATCAGCGATTTCATCTGCATCAGAATTCATCGCCGATTCTGGTAAAAATCTAAATTTTTTAGAATTATCATTCGCGCAAATATTTTCCCACTAATTTGTAAAAAACACGTTTGAAAATCTTGAAACATGTTTGAATACCCCTTATGGCGACGTCGACAAGGAGATAACAATGCACAATCCGTTCCACCTCTACTCCGATCTCTATTCACGAAGACAATTTTCGCTCGAAGAGAACTGAAATTTCCGATTATAGCATTTTAAAAATGTTTTATAATAATGATCAAATAAATGTTTTTAACCTATCTCTGTTAAAAGTTCCGGTCAGAATTTTTTGTTCCTTGGTAATTTTAAGATTTTGTTTGGCAGAAACCAGCTTATTTCGTTCGTTATGTTTAATTTGACTGTACGCCAAACGCCGATTCTTTTCCTCCTATAAAAGTAATTTCAGCCATTGAGAGGATCTGCAAAAGGTTATTCAATTCTCAGCATTTATAAAGGGAAAAAGGGAAATAATGCTGATATATTTAATTAATTAATCGAAATTGAAGAGAGATTAAAGACATTAAAGAGGGCGCTACAAAGTGCCCTAGTTTATTATATAAATTAAAATGAAAATAACCTTCTCGATGGCTTCGATTCTGTGCTGACTATCAGGCTCAATTGTATTGATCTGAAGGCAAAGACTTTCCATGGGGGCTAATGCTATTTGATAAAATCGATGAGGGCTAATAATTGAAGCAACAGCAGTAAGGCAGTGCACAAATGATGTGAGTTGCTTGGACGCTCTTAATATGTGACGAGCTTTCTCCCTTAATGCAATAGTTTCTTCAATCTAAAAAAAGCTGGTGAAAACTTGGAAAAAATCAAACTGTGTATTCCTTGTACTTTTTGTGTGAATAATGCATTTGATTTTTGGAATCAAACTTAAAAAATTTTAAAAATTATTCATATTATAATGAGAAATACTTCGGTCTAATTTTACAAAAAATGATTGAACTCCTACGATTTAGAATCAAAACTCCAGTTCAAAATAGAGTAAGAATGCAAAAAAAAATTAATGGTTGAATGTACAGTAGTTATCTGCACTCCTGTACATTTCACTCAACAATTGAACAATTATAAAGTAAATATTTAGTGGAAAATTTACTTTCTGCCTGAAAAGTAACTGTTGCATGCGAACTCGATCTAACTGTTCTTGCCAAATATCCTGCATTTTTGGCTGCAAGTCATATATCAATGAAGATAACTGACCAGCTTTGATATCAATATCAGCACAACTACAATTATAAACGATTCATAGACAAAATTAATCACGCAGAGATTATAAGAGAAAATGAAACAACCTTTGAATAAGATTCTTTATTGCTTGTTCGCTAATAATACATCGCCTTAACGTTAGATCCTTTTGCGTCTCTTGAACTTTTTGGCCCAAATGAGTCACCTCGCTGTTGTAACATTTTAACGGTATATCAACATGAGAAAACTGTTCGCCGAAGGCTCCAGCCAAATCAACTATCAACTGATACTTTGTGGGTACTGAATGCATGCGATTGGCAAGATCCGAACTGAAACAGAATTTAACATGAAATTATTAAAATTTTTCAATCTTTTCCAAAATATCACTCCAGCAAAATTAAGGGGAATGCTCCAATAACATGCCTTAAACGCATAACAGATCCGAATTGATTAACAGGTGACGTTCCTGCTGTGCATGCCCAGTCTTTACCTTCTTTGCAACCAGTATTCAGTAATACTGAAGATAGACCCAGGAACGGTTCCAAAGCTCGACTTAATTCCTCGCTACTATCCACTTTCAATTCGCCAGTGTAAAGAGGCTTATCACATTCCATACCAATAAGGCTCTGTTAACAAAGTATAAAATATACTAAAATAATAAAGAACAAAGAAACAAATAGAAAGCTAAAGCAAGGTATATATTACTCGAACACATAAGTTCTATTTGTAATATACAAATTTCCAAGAATATCGCATATTTCAAATCGAATTATTGAAGCACCTCAAAGGTATAAATGTCAATAACTTTTCTGGAACTGTGAATATTGGTCCCGATTAAAAGAATTAAAGGAATGTCTTCGAAAGTCAGCCACTTCCACACTAGGACATACTAGCAGGAAGAGCGTCAGTTGAGTATCGGAAGTGTCCAAATATCTGAAAATGTTGCCAAAGCACGAGATGCCTTGAAGAATTACAAACAGTAGCACGGCAGGATAGAAACTGCTATTGGAGCGAGATGGCCTTCAGAATGGAGACAGCGGCTCGATTGAGCGACTACAGGAAACTATCCCGTCTTCTTAAACTATAACTCTGGGAACAATCAGTGAAATGATAAGCGATAGCAATGGTGTGCCTGTTAAGAGTATTAAAGATTGCCTCATCAGATGGAAGGAATTCTTTGAGGCCAAACTTAACCATGATGCGTCATCTAACCTAACTGTGACTGTGATGATGCGTCATCTAATCTAACTGTGACATAGCTGATGCGTTTGTCGAACCATACTTTTGCAATTGTGAACCGTCAACAGATGAGAAAATACTCTCTGTTATCTATAAAGATCAATAAGATCAATAAAACTTAAGATCAATAAAACTCTTGGAGAAGATGGTCGTCGAGCCGATCTCTTCATATGCTGACCATCGTCCTTCATAACACATCTTCAACAAATGTATTCCTTGGTATGGAAAAAAAATACCATAATACCACAAAAATACCAAAGATAACTGCAGCAAAGCAATTCTGCTCTCAATTCCCCACGGAAGATGATAGCACATACTGTGATAATTACCGAAGCATCTACTAGAAGCGTCTTAGGAAAAACTTTTGCTTCACTTCTAATCATTAGACTTATGGCAGTACAACACAGCAGTATGTGATGCACCACAACCAAGCTGGATTTAGACAAGGATGCGGTTGTGCTGATCAGATATTCACGTTAAGGAGGATACTGGAACATCGCTTCAAATATGTGCAACCCAAGTTTTATCGAATTCGCAGGTGCCTTCGATTCAATCAACAGAACGGCGCTTTGGAGAGCGTTGAAACGCGACTGTGTTGCAAAGATCATTCGGCTCATAAAGGCATTTTATCAGCATAGCTTGGCACAGACAGGCTTCTGTATATGTATATGTGGAACTAATTGATCCTTTCGAAATAAAGACTGCTGTCCCTCAAAGATGGACCTTTCTCTCACAATATTCAACTGTGCGATAGAATGGATGATGGACATCGCCTGTAGGCACTCAAGAGGTGTACAAATCAGTTCATAGTACAGCACCACAGAACTTGAATACGCTAATGAAGTTGTCCTTTTCGCTGACAATTGTAGTGAAATGCAAATAATGTCGAGAAAAGTTTTTTTAGTTAAGAAAGAAGAAAAAAAACTAGTTTTTTGAAAGTGACTAGTATACTTGTCGACGAATTAGACTTGGAATATATAGCTAGTTGTAGATTTTATTACTGCCCAGATATCAATATAATAAAGCGATGTGCAAAATAGTATCAATTATTATAACGAAATGAATAGTAGGATTAGCGAAGAATATGAAGGATGTATTGTAGAAACTGGCTGACTAACTGACCGATTAATAAACCGACAGACAGCTACAAAGAAAATTTACGTATAAAAATACTGGATATACAGCTGATTCATGATTTTAAGCATAGGAAAATGATCATTTCGATTTTTCCGACAAATAATGCTAAACAACGTGTTAACAACAGGAGCGAGAAATGGACTCAGAATCAATGATATGAAACGTAAATAAAACGAAAGTTTTTCGTTTTAAATACTGATAAAACTGGTACTGATAAAACTGATAAAACTGATAAAACTGAAACTGACAAAACTGATAAAGCTGATAAACCTATTTTAATCAATTTTTCCGGCTAAGGAAATGCCAGAACTTTAAATACGTAGGATCCATTCTAATCATAAACAGCCAAATGAAAGACGAAATTGCAACCCGAATAACGATAGCTAGAAATGGGTCCTTCCGGTTGACGAAACCTTTATGCAGCCGTAGCGAAAACACCATAGAGACAAAGGTACGTCTTCATATAGTAGCAATTTGCTGTATGGTTACGATCTTGCTATATGGTTGCGAAACATGGATAATGAGAGTGGAGGATATTATGAAGCTATCTGCCTTTGACTACTCATCTAAAATATATTTTACGGATTCGTCAAGCTGATAAAATCTCATGTGACCGCATCCATCTTCACTCAAATATCACTTGCATTAAAAGTGCCATTAAGTACTATCACAGAGCATCGTCTTCGCTTAGGGCACGTTTCTCCCTCGCCCACCACAGGAGTCTACAAACATTTTGTTGCTTGCTAAACCCTATGATATGTAGCATCAAAAGCGAGGCGAGCCAATTAAGACTTGGGATGATACAGTCATGAAAGATTTTGAACCAGCAATCTATGGACATAGACGATGGAAAAAGAAATGGCTTCTATTACTGTCGACAATGGCATCAGATCGTGCAGCTTGAAAACGCTTTACCCTTGTAGCCAATGAAGCCAGCCTAATCAGTAATGGTGTTAGAAGAATGATATTTACAAAAAAAGGAAAAGAAAAATGTATCCAGGTCAAAAAATTTTTTAAAGTGTCATACGAGCAACATGTTTCAAAAAATTAACTTTTATAGATTTTTTTAAAGATTTACCTGTATTCGCTTCAACAATTCATTGGAGAACTGAAGGAAATCAATCTTCGAAGCCGAAGAACAAAAGATTGACGCACCCAATAGATAAAGCCGGATTGAAGGCTAAAACATAGTTAGATTGATTTAACAAAAAAATGAATCCTAAATTACTTAAAAAATATTTATTTGGCATATATTTATTTAATATTTAAGAGCCATCAACTGCTGTAATTAACGACTTAAATCATGCCATAAGAAAAAAACCCACAAAATTTCATTCATTCGAAGGTTATGATAGAGAATAAATTTCAACAGCGACCTACCTGCAAGCATATGAGATATTTGACTTGGTCATTAAAATGTTTTTCTCGAATATTTTTAGTCTCATCTAGCTTCTTTAATAATCGATCCTTCACTGATAATATTGCATCGACCATTTCTTGACAAGTCTGTTTGATGCTATAAGAAAATATAAAGTATTGTGACCTGTTAGAAACTCACCGATTTATGGTGAAAAATGTTTGAAAAAAATAATATTCAAAGCAATTTCATATAAAAACTGTAATACCTTTCAGAGGCCACAGAATAACTGTCAGAAAGCTCCGAAGCCAATCGCTTTCGTAACTGCAGTTGCTCTCTAACGTCGTCCTAAACAGACTCCAGAAATGATAAAGTTTTTTAAACAAAAATAAATTTAAAAAATAAAATTTAATTTAAGGCTTTACAAAGATATACCTGAAAATTACGTAATTTTGTTGCTGCTTTATCCAGTTTTTCACATCCCGTTTTATGAGCTGCATCAATATGCACAAGGTGATGTCTTAAATAAATATTTATTCATTGAAGGAATGTTTGATTATTAAATGTTTTATGAAATAAAGTTGAATGTTTAATCAATGAAAGATAATAAATCGTTATGATAATAAATTAACCATATCCAATAAAATTTACAAATGCTTGACAGCTAATCCTTCAAGTAATATAATAAAATACAAAGACGTGGGTGGAAAATAAATATAATTGCTCATTTCTTAGAAATATAATATGAACTGTAACAAATTTTATTTTACCTAGAATCTATAGCAGAATTATTGAAACAAACAATGCATGCCAAGGAACGATTATCCAGAGAATGAAGTATGTAAGGCTCATTATGTTTCGGACAATTAATTTTACCTTTGACTCTGGATCGTTCTTCTAAAGGCACCAATCGGTGAGTGGAAAACATTTTTGCCTGAAATATTAGCTATATTCATTTTCCTCCTGTGTTCCTTAAGACTTGCCTAAGTTTTATGCATTGCGCGCGCCAATTCTTAAAAATATTTGTATTTCCTAAATTCAAGAAAATTTCATCTAATTTCATTTCAATTAATTATTCAGATTGCAAGAAAAAGAATAAAAACCTGGTGAGCATTCTGACGACAATCATTGCACAATGCTTGTTGGCAAGTTTCGCAAAAATGCATCGGTTGCGAAACCTAAACAATATTATAAAAAATTTTAAAGAGAAAAACGACCAACAATCGAAGGCAATATACCAACTATATACCAACTACCTAAAAATTAAAGGATCAGCCAAGTCTGGCATTACATTACAATATACAATTAGTAATAATTTAATATGATATTCTGCTGACAAAAAATGGCAATAAATAAAACATATATGCACCAGCGCATCTGAAAAAAGAGGCCACAGGAACAAAGCAGTAAAGGAGTTATGGAAAGCTCAGTTATGTGGCGTTGTCTACCCGTCGATACTTGGCTTATAGCCAAGTAACTCTCAATCAAAAATTTCCAATCGTGCAAATAATCACAACAGCTAGCCTAATTTGAAATGGGTCTTAACTACCAATTTGTTTATATGGAGGCAAGAGAAAATTACTTGATCACAGTTAGCGCAAACATCAGCCACTTCATAGCTCGTTTCAATCAAATAAGATAACAAGATATCAGAGACAGCTTCTCCTTCAATTGGATAATCGCATACTGGACAGCACGACTTGTCGCGAATACAATCCTGACAGAAACTATGGTGACAGTTTAAGCGCAGCGGATTTTTAAACTGCTGAAAAGTAGGTATTTCGACAACACCACTATGGTAAAGCACAACAATTAAAACTGAGTGAGTTTGCCCAAAAATTTGGATATCGAAAAGATGAAAACAAAACAAACAACGAGATTTCACTGGAGATTTACATTATAATTGGCTTTTTGTTAAATCCATCTTTCATAACTGAAAGTGAAAAAAATGAAAAAGAAGTTCGATAATTAAAGCGAACACGATCACAAATCAGACATTCCAACGGATTTCTCGATTCAGCGTTTTCCAATTTGAACATAAGCAAAGAAGAAGAGCAAGCCATTTCAGACAAAACATATAATATTGACCATTTTCTAAATTTTTAACGGAACAAATTACATCTAAAAGAATCATTAAATATGATTTAACCTAAACATTTTAAAAGTGGTTAGGATTTAGCGGTTAGAGAGATGAATAGTCGCCAGTGATACCATACACAGTCCTGAATAGAAACATCAGCTATTCACATCGCCATATTTTTCTTCAAAGTAATAAAAGGATAGTTTTACTTCAAAAAAGGTCAAAAGGAAAAACGCTTAACATATTTTCTAATCTAATCACTTAGTGGCAATAAGCTAAGGTGCTAATTGCTTAAATCAGTTTTTGAAAGACACAAAAAATGTTACAAGTAATTAGCACCCAGCAAAACCACTCAACCTTTACCACCTCGTTTCACAAATTTTCGAGGAACAATTAATTTCGAATTCGAGATACTCTGCGGAACTACAAAAAAGAAATTACATGAAATTTATTAAAGCATGACTCTAAAAATCAAAAAAGCTGATGACCTAACAGTTGTTTACTATTTTTAAGTTGTGAAGCAAAAACTTTTCGTTGGTTGCAACAAAAAAATTTTATATTTGTAAATATTTCATGCATACTTCATACATAAATACTGCTTCTATTCTTAGTTCACCACGAGATATTTATTTAAACCTCGATAAATAAACAAAACTCAAAACAATGAAAAACAATAAATGAACATAAAATCTAAATTATCCCAAAATAAAACGAGGAAAAAGCTTAAAATTAATAAAGGAGAAAACCATTTAAAATATATCATTAAATTTTTAAATTCTTTAAAATTTTTGCTTGAATTTTTTGATAAAAATCAATCATAATGGTTATTACCTGAGTAATTGCGTAAAAAAACTCAGAAAAATAAGAAAAAGTCATGTTAATGAAGAAAACTGGCATGGAAATTCAATGATTTAACTGAAGGAAAACGACAGATGTAAAGTGTAAGAAATTATTTCAGAACATACTTCATCAAACAAATATCAAATAAGAATCCAGAAGAATGCCGCAAAAATTCTTACAATTTCGATGTCCAAATTTTCAAAAAAAACTGAGTATAAATGGAAAAAATGGTGCAAAAATACCTATAAAAACCATTAACAATCACCACTCATGTAACTCAAATCCTCATCCATTTTTTAATCGAAAATGAATGTGGATAATAGAGATATAATTAAACGAAGACTTCGTCTGCTGTAGATTTTCTAATCGATTAGTTTCTTCGCTTTAAAATATCTTCGAAGATAAAGCACTTGCCATGACGCCAAACCCAGCAGGCATAACATTGAAAATATACTTAAATATAAAACACGACTGTTCGTCGACTCTGAAAAAACACTATATTATACAAGCAGAAAGCTAAACAATTGTTGAAGTACTTCTTCATCTTCTGACAGCTCTCACCATTGTTGATTAGGCTGGCTCCGCTGACTGCAAGAGTAAGACGTCTCCAAGCTGCTCGGTTCAACGCCATCGCTAGTATAATAGAAGTGATTCCTTTTCCAAGGTCTAAGTCCATATATCGCTGGTCCCTCTATACGTTCAAAATTTCCTGACTGTATCAGTCCACGTTTTGACTGGCCCTCCTCGCTTTTGATGTCAACCATCATAGGGTTTATCAAGTAATAAAATATATGTCAACTCTTGGGGTGGAGGACAGAGAACGTGCCCTAACTAGCGAAGGCGACGCTCTGTGATAACATTATTAATGCAAGTGGTATTTGAGCGAAGATGGATATAATCATGATTTTATCCGCTCGAAAAATCCGTAAAATGTATCTTGGACATGAGTGATCAAAGGCTAATAGTTTCTTAATAATTTCCACTCTCACTGGCCATATTTCGCAGCCATATAACAAGATCGAGCAAACTGCAGCTACATGGAGGCGGATTTTCATCTTTATGGTGATTTCGCGACAGTTTCATAAAGATTTCATCAACCGGAAAAACATTTCTAGCTGTCATTATCCGGATATTGAAGTACAGCAGAAAGAAAAATAAAATTGTTAATAACCGTAAAATAACGAAAACCATAACGATAATGTAAATTCTTTAACAATTTACCAAAATAATAAGAAAAAGTACCATTCGTGGTTCGCATTTCTTCTTCGCGTTGTCTCATATAAGCAAAATCTTGTACAATTGATTCAGATAAATCCTCCAGACTTAAATAAATAAACTTTAAATCTCTTCCGCAGTGAAAAAAAAGTATGGAAAAATATTTAAATTATTTCCGCATTCAAAAAATGGCTCGGTGGGCTGTTTCTCTTATTTCAGATCGCCGATGCTGGGGTTTTTTTGGGCAGGAATAAACCTATCTTTCAAAAATCCGAGCCAAGAACTCTAAAAAAACTTTTACCATTTTCACTAGTTAACAACAATCTCAATTTTTTTAATTAAATAATTTCTATTTATAAATAATATTGTATATAAATAATAATTTTTTTAACTATATACTTATATAATTTCTAAGTTTTCATTTTTTTATCCAGGAACGTAGTTTACTAGCACTGAAAGAAAGAGATCAAAAATAAACAAAAAATTACAACTTAAGAGGCAAAAAACATACCGTCTTAATTCTATTTCAATTGGTTTAAGTTGCTCTGCTTTGGCCAAAGCTTCATAATTTTTGGCTTCAACACCACGCTTCATATCCAACATAAGTTCTCTGTTTCTCCCTTGTTGACCTAATAAGAACAATAATATAAAACCACTGACCATATTTTTCTTCCAGAATAATAAGTGAAAATCATTCTAGAAAACCAAAAAAAGTGATTCCCCGAAATTTTAATTTCATATTATGTTTAACGCATCGTTTTAAATTGTAAAAAAAGAAAGAATCATCAACATCAAAATTAATTAAAAAATAAAAAAATACCTGAAGATAAATAAGAAGTAAAACAAATCTCAAATATATCGTATTCATCAGCTGTGAAAGCAAATTTTCCTTTATTTTCAGCGAAACGCTCGCGATTGTATAATATATGACCCCTCGAATCAGTCACCTGCGAGAAATACAATAAAAAAACGGCAAAGGTTTAACATTAAGATTTACGATTTTAAACAAGTGCTAAAAATCAAAACTTTGATTAAAATCAATCATATAAAATTATCTAGAAATAATTAGCAATCTCTTCAAATGCAAACTATAAGTAGTTTCCATATAATCAGTCATGTTAGCCGATGGTACTAATAGTGAGAAAAAGCAGGAATTTTTGCCAAATGAATAACTTTATACTCTTATTTTTGGGTTGTATTTTAAAATAATAATTTCTTCATCAACATAAAATATTTTTAACAAAATATATTAAAGAATTTGTAAAAAAAAAACAAACTGAGAACATACATGAACACTGCTCTGATAACCAACGCCTTCACTGAATTCATATTCACCGGTTACAACGACATTTTTATGAATTTCTTCCTTTAAACACTTCCTTCCATTTGGTGGTAAATAGAAGCGAATTGCATTCGAATATGGCAAAATCGAAATAAGCAATAATAATGAAATGAACATCTCTGAATCAATGAAAAAAATATTAATTGAAAATTTGGATTTTCTTTTAAATATATTCAATTCAAAATAGTAAAAACTAATGAATAAAGAACTATTAATTAAAAATATATATGGGGTAGAATGTCCCAGTGAGTTGTCAATTTGGAGCACCGATGCTGAGGTTCTATTTCGCGCAGGAGCAAACATGTTCAAAAATCCGGGTGATGCTGGCGCCTCACCTGCACTTCTATCGCAAACAGACTCCCTGATATATTTGTCTAGTGCGACAAGCCATCAGAGGGAGTTTAACCAGTAAAGGTAAGGACTTTCTTAAAAAAAAAAAATTAAAAATTTACACAACTGAACTGAAAGAAAAATCTACATTTTCATTAAAAACGAAAAACATTCGCAAAATTTTTCGCAAAAAAAATAATTGAACGATAGCAATTTTAGTGAGTGATTAGCCCTTACCATCTCACCATTAGGCTAGCTCGCACAGTTGGAAATTTTTGCCAGACAGTCACTAGACTAAAAATATCTGTATGATGGGTTACCAGCACCACTCAAATTCTTTAATGGCGGATTTAATTTCCTGTTAGGATGAGACTTGATGATTTGAATCCCTATCCACTAACCTCTAAATAACAAAAAAAGAAAAAAAGAAATTTTTTGAAATTGAAACTTTTATAAAATTTCTAATCGAAAAAAATAAAATTTGGTAAGAATATTAAGAAATCTAATAATCATATATAATGAGAAGCATTTTCGATGAAAATTCGCACAAATGTTTATCAGAGTAGCAACAGCAGTATGGCCGGACAATTTATGTACTTTTCAGAGCGTCGATTAAAGTGACTGGTACTTTGCCCTTTGAAATGACATTTGTTATTAAAAGCCAAATCCTCCGGATGATGCTGGAGACATGCAATTCTAACTACAAATGACTCCAGGCGAAAGATTTTATCATAGCAAATAGGACCAGCCAAAAATAATGAGTACTGTGGAAAAAAATGCTTACCCTCCAACGCTAATCACTTCTACCAACAGCTATTAGCTAAACGCTCGTAACGTAAGATAAACGGTTACTGACAACATGTCACTTCAATCATATCATTTGATGGTTAACAGCTATGACACCGACGAACACCACTTACCGGAATACTGCTAGTTAACGACTACGGCTTATTATCCATAGACCCATTCACCCGTCCAACTGCCTCGCACATATTACCAACATCCGATGCTTGCCCCCAATAATTCCATAACAAATATTGCAACCATTGCAAGGAATCACTCCACATCATTTAGCAGACGCCGCTTATTTGGAATGTTTAAAATTCAGCTGAACATTCAGTTATCTTTTCATTTTCTTGCGGACTAATAAAATTCTGTGGGGCGTCACGAATGGTTCAAAAATACTACGCTTTTGGTCGGCATAAAGGACGTTTGCTTTGTGGTGAATTACTTGCTGTTCAGGTGGCATTCTGTTAATCTCTTTATATTTCTATATTCTGGCCAAATTCAAACTGTTAGGTCAGTGGTTTGGATATAGTGACCAACTCGGTTTTGGGATTCATGTTATTGCGTTGGGAGGCAGCAGTTCGGCTGCTTACGGGAATAAAGCTATCATTAAAAAATTCCAGTAGTGCTGGCTATCCATCTCTACTTCAAGCCAACGGACCCTGGCATAAATTTCTCTGACATCCATAGCTAGCACAGCCAAAAGTCGTGCGCTCCACCCACTTATTTATCTATTTAAACAGCTTAAGCAAGGCCCTAGCCATGTTTTTAGATTATAAGCAGCAAATGATAATAAAAAGGAAAAAAACACCATTATTGAGGTTGGAATCCAAGAAGAAAAAAAATTGAAGAATTTCATTCCATAAATTCACCTCACCTTGCCTAATTTCTTACGCGAAGAGCGTTATGTCAATCATAAGGCTGTGGTTGTTTTACGGTATTTGATTTTGATTTGAATGATATTATTCAGCCGTTTTTAAAAGCAACTGAGCACAATGCATTTAATCAATCAGTTAATCGAGCAGTTAACTATCCGGATGAAAAATAGCGGTTGGAAAGTGGAATCCTAATATTTGGTGCTGTCCAATTAACAAAATAATATAAGTGAAAATGAAAACTTTGATCTTTTTGCATGATCCTTCAGTGTTTTCATAAAGGATCGCTGCAGAGATTGAGGAGTATTTGCAAAGTATATATTCGCAAATATCGCAAAATATCGTAAAATCGCAAATCGCCAGATGCCAGCAAACCTTTCATTCTGGACGCATTGTATTGCATTGAAGGGTCCAATAAATGCCTTGCAAATTTTAGTAAGGAAAGCTCTCCTTTTATTTTAAAATAATCTTCATTTCTTCATATGGAAATCTTTATCTCCAAAATTGATTTTGGAAATATTTGAATTTTCAGAAATTCGTTATCTATGGATAAACCAGCCATTTTCAATGTGAAACACACAGCTATTGATCTAAGCAATGCGAATGTGTTTGATGACTTAGGATTTTATGAATCGACCAACAGCACTACTGGTTTCTTTTTTGCCTTCTATTTCTGAATCCTTTATTATAGTTGGTAGTAACGACGTTCTACGGACGAGCAGAACTGTCTTCGAACCCGATCATACCTCTCGACACTGTAAAACTCGTTGCCTTCCCTTAAAACCGTTTGAATTTCTTTCTACATCTATAAAATTTTTCCACTTCTTTTTGCACTCCCCTTTGCAATCATGCTACCTCATTCACGTTTATAATTTGCAACTGTGACTACAAAAGCGCAAGGTTTGAGGGGCTTTAAAGGGACAAAATGTTGAGCTGCATGTGTTAAAAAACTAAGATATGGTGTTTAAAATAGTTTTTGTAGGTTTTTCTCGAAATACGATTGCTCTTGGGTAAAAAGGTTTCAACATGACGGGCTGTGCATTAGCATGCAGAATAGCGGGTTTTCATGAGTTATCAGCGGGAGAGAATTATTATGGGATCTGAAAAGATCAATGTAAAAAGTTTGAGGAGATATTATTATCAGATTTTGGTAAAAAAATTGGCGGCTTGGTAGGATTTCAAAGAGGAAGCGTGGGTTAAGGGCGCTTTTAGTTGTGGAGGATTACAACAGATTCAGAGAAAGTTGAAAGGGAGATTAAAGTATATAAAGTATATAGAGTAAGTATAAGTATAAAGTATATAGGTTAAAGTATATATAGTATAAAGTATATAGTAAGTATATGGATACGATTTATGCTTATTAATATGGGGGATGTGACAATGCCAACTGATTTGAGCGAGAGAATATTGTGGTCTTAAAAGGCCACCTCTGATTGCATTTAATCTAAACTGTACATTTTTTCCCTAGCCATTAGATATCAGGTTGCATCCGAATTATTTAAAGTCTAGCACCTCTTTCCAAAAGTGCGAATTGTCAGTTTTATCCGCAAACATAAAATGATATGATCCGTGCAGACTGCCAATTTCGACTCATTATGAGCTGCTATCAAGTATAGAACTTTTCTAGCGATGACTGATTAAGTTATAGTTATAGTTAAATCAGTCTATTGATTGTCTGCTTTGTTCCATGATTTGTTAGATGCCTCCTGCTCTGCTGAAAGTATTGATAGCGAAAAGTTAATTTGTTTTTCAATAAAGCAGAAAAGATGCTCTCCCTTGGGACACTCGATCCCAGTGCCTTAGCTGCCAATTATTGAAGGACATAGTGGGGTAGCATCGCATTCTACGCATATATTCCTTTCTTCCTGCGATCGCAGTTACATGGTTTTCTGGGAGAGATGCTGTTAACAGATCAGTTTCTCTATCAGATTCATTCTCATTATCCATGCATAATCGGGGACATAAATTATTGCCCCTTACAGCAGGTAGCCATACGGTTATTAGCAAGATTTCATACGATAAAAGCAGATTGTTTCAGACATGAAAATCAATACTCCATTTCTGTCCGAATTATCTGAGACATCACTGTAATATAATACAGCCAGCCAGTTGTAATTTTTGTTATTGACTAAGAATTTAGAAGACATACTTCGGACAGGTGAACGATATCCACATGTTAATTTTATAAGGTGTGGATAATTACCACGTGGCTCCCTACATCCATAATGTTCTAATGTTCCACCCAGCTAGACCTCGATATATGTACATGCTCTGAAAGCTAACATTTGTCCGATTTGTTTGGTTAGAATAGTCTCCTCAGCTGGAGACTTTAAATGACTGTTTTTATCGGGATCGTTATATTTGTCGTATTTACCACCATGTTAGGAGTACGATACTCGTCTGATTAAAAAGGATTTGAGATTTGTTTTGCACGTTCGTTGTAGAGCCATTTGGAGATAGAGATGCCGATGCATCATAACCATCTGAATTTGACATTATGACAGGTTTACTTTTTTCCAGACAACCAAAGGAATAATTTTTTAATTATGATAATTAAGAATGAAAAAAAAAGATCTAAACTTCATACTGAAGAACTTTTTGAAGTTGTTACAGTTTACGCTTTTAAAAATAAAGACTATAAGGATTTATTTTATGCGAAATTTAACATATAATTCAGCAAAAACAATAGCGGAAGGAAATTTATCCAATCTGACTAGTATACGCCATCGGAGCGGTCGAGCAGGTCGTTTTTTGGATGAGCATGGTTTTGGTTGGCTTCTGGAAGTGAATGATGATGAAGAACCGAAGCCTTTGTTGTTAGCCTTTTATCATTTTTAAAATTATTTTTAAAATTTCCGAAGCATTACATGCCTAGTATGCTATCTGTTCTGTGCATTATTCACTTTGCTTATATTGGTGTAATATTTGTAATATATGTAACATTTCGATCTGACTGAAGTTAATCGACAAAGATTCCCTTTGATAGCAGTAAAGTAAGTAAAGATAATAGTAATAATAGTATTAAATCATTAAGTGATATTCAAATGATGATAATAATGTATGTCTATTTCCAAACACTTTTCTGGCGAAAAGATTTGGTATTCAGTGGCATCAATGAAAGCAGAAATGATATTGGTCAGAAGAACTAGAAATTGAATAAGAACAAATAAGTGAACATAAATATGTAGCAAAAGTCTTCATCTTTTTCTAACAGCTCTCACCATTATTGGTTAGACTGGTTTCATCGGTTACAAGTGTAAAACGTTTCAAGCTGCGCGATCTGATGCTATCGTCCACAGTAACAGATGCCATTCCTTTTTCCATCGTCTAAGTCCATATATTGCTGGTCCACCTATACGTTCAAAATCTTTCATGAATGTATCATTCCAAGTTTGATTGGCTCCTTCTTGATTTTGACGCCACCAATCGTAGCGTTTAGCTAATAATAAAATATGTGTAAACTCTTATAGTGGTGGAAATATGCCTTAAGCGGTGAAGGCGACGCTCTATGATAGTAATATTAATGGAAGTGATATTTGAACAAAGATGAATACGATTATGTGAGATTATATCCACTTGACGAAGCCAAGTAAAATGTATCTTGTAATAATGTAGACATGAGTGGTCAGAAGCAGATGACTTTTTAATATGAAATTTTACTTCATTGAAAAAAATGAAGTCCACTTTTGTTCACAAATTATATATTTCTCAAGATAATTCTGTGCTTGTTTTTCAGTGAAGAATTGGATGTCGATTTTAAAGACATTTATTATAAAGTTCGATGCGTACTTTTACCTCTGCCATATTTTCGCTTGAAGCTGAGCATTGTAAGAGATTCACCCGATTTTTGGGGGCCGCTTATTGTAGTGCTTATTTATGCACTTTTATCTATATATGGACAACTCAGTGTTAGTTTTTATTGAATTTTAGAGCGCAAGGAGTGATTCCGTTGTTTGCTTTTAAAAATTTGTTTCAGAAATAAAAAGATGAAAACTTTTAGAAAACTTGCGAGCGTATTCAGTTTAAATTTTTTGCCGTTTTACTTGTGATATTTTAGGTAATTTCTTGGATTTTAACTATTTGGCTAATTGGGTCATTTTGTATCTTTTTTCTTGCTAGAGCATTGGGAGGAGAAGTTGGTTATTCGCAGGTTCTTGGAATTGTGGGTTATTGTCTCATTCCGTTGGTTGTTGTTGTTATTTTGATGCCCATGTTTTCTAGGTAAGGTCATCATAAAATAAGATCTTTTATTATGACTTCAGAATTTGCCATTTATTTAATTTTGGATTTTTTTAGTAACTATTTTTTGTTTTTAATGTGTAAAATTTAGGATTAAGTTGATAACTTATATTCTTGGCTTTTTTGGGATTCTTTGGTCTGTTTATAGTGCTGCTATGTTATTATGTGTCGATGAATTACAAGAGAAAAGAAGTCTTCTGCTTTATCCAGTTTGCTTGTTATATATATATTTCTTTTCATTATATTTGGGTGTTTAATTTATTTATGATACGAAACTTTATTTTTTTTCACGTCTTTTCATTTCTGTTTTTACTTTATTTTTATAAAGCGAGCTTAGATAGTAAATAGAAAAGTTTTTTGATTTATTGGCGACTGAAAAAAAGTTCATACGGATAGATACGGATAAAAAATTCATTTGTGCAAGCGAACATGCACAGAGGCTCTCTTAGTGGCTGAATAGCGCATCTTTTGTATTTTATTTTATGTATTATTGTAACTTTAATTCGAAAATTTGTTATTTATAATATGTGCATGCATAATTTAAATTTTAATAAGTGGTTTAAAAATAATTGGTTAAGTCGTGATAAGAGCCAGTAAAGTCAAACTCCCATCGGAGAGTTTGGGACTTGAGATTAGACTTAGTCGAATCCATCTATCGTCCTCTGTTTCAGTTCAAAGCTATATGATTGCAACCCAGAGCTACCAATGTAATCCGTAACTGAGGCGCATATAGTTTCTGGGCTAAATTCTTTTGGTGTTTTTAAGTTGTCGGAAATTTGGAAAGAAAATAAAGTAATTCATTTTTTTTTGAAGAAAAAACAAGCAGAGCAGATGCGTCGTGAGTAAAAGGCAAGATAATTGCCACTTAGAATCGATGCTTGGGTCCGAAGCCACTGATGCACCTCTTCGTCTAGTGGCAATTTCTGTTAACGGAGAAAAGCAAAGAAGGTTAGAATAGCTCAGTGGGTTGTGTTCAATTCGAAGCGCCGATATTGAGGTTATCCCGATAGGAGTGAAAATTTAAGTGGTGCTAGCGACTCACCTGTACTTTTGTCGCGAAGGGCATATTATGAAGTGAAATAACCCAATTTTTTCGAGAGTCGAGAAGTAAAAAGCAACTTGATTTATTGTAGAGAAGGTTCTTTTAATGAATGCTTGCGGAGTTATATTTCGAATTATAGGAGGGAATATTTGATTTCCATGTATGAAGTCTAAAATTTTGAAACAACCCTGTTCGATTAAAAGTGAAAATTTAAGCTTAGACTTAGGCTCGTACCACACATACCACACATCTTAAGAAATTATTTCGGTTAATGCACACACCAGCGTAGAAATAGCTGAATATTGGACTATTTTACGGAAAACAGCACGAAGATTGCTAATTTCAATCAAAATCCCATTCTTGCATGCATTTGTGTAATTACTGAACAGAAGCGCACTAATATGTTTTATGGTTTAATCACCAAATTTTGAAATTGAGATGACAATTAATATTTTTTATTATTAGTCATTGTAGGCGATAAACTGCAACAACAGAATAAAATTCCACATGGCAGGTAGAATATGGATTATTCAAAGAAGTTATAAAATCACTAAGCATTTCCCTTAGTTTTCGTGCAAAGGAAGAAGCATTCCGATCAGTTATTCTCAAATTATTTTTCAAAAACATTCTAATCGTACACTCTCATAGAATTCTATTATTTTATTGAGATTTCGCGACGAAAAATCCGCGAATTCCATGAGTGTGTCGACCTATGGCGTGGAGCGACGAGAGAAAGAAAAGGAGAAAGGGTTTAGGGAGGGTGCAGTCTTTGTGGTAAAATTCTACCATGAAAATAAAATTGTATAAAGGGTCGGGGAAGGTAGAAGGACGTTAGTTTGCGTTGAATAATTGAAGATAAATTGAAGATTTGTGGCAACTCTGCACTGAATAAATTTATTGGCACTGTCCAACAGCATATGTGCCATAATTTAGTAATTCTCGGAGCAAATTAACAAATTTAACAAATTTTTTCATTGTTTTATATTGTATCTGTTATGATCTGTGTTCAACGATCATTGATGTCACTTTAATTATTTAGGGGCACTGCGAACTGTACTTATGTAAGAGAGCGAATTTATTCAGTAAATATGTGCTTCATCGACCTAGGTCATTTAGCAGCCTTATAATAGGCTGTATAGTTGAGAAAGTCCCGGAGTTGCATTAAAATATATTTATTATAGTTGCAAATATAAATTATTATTTAAGTTTATTATTTATAAATATATTTATAGTTGCAAATATAGTCATTTAAATTGTAGAATAAAATGTCAAACTTATCTTGCATTTTCTCTTGTTTTTTTGCGGAGTGCCAACTGATCATGCAGTTTTATTTTTTTGCAACATGCTCTAATAGCTCTACTATGGTTCATACTAAATTAAATCTTCTTTATTCTTAAACTTGATCTTGCAATGAAGGGACGTTAAAGCAGAGATACGCCAAAAGTCGAGTTAGGCAAATTTTAGCGGAAATTATTAACCACCTGTCTATCTTGCATCAAAATTTTCTTCCTTCTATGCACTTTATCATCCATCGCAGTGGGCCTTTCGTGTTTCATCTAATAGCTATCACCATTATTGGCTTCATTGGCTTCATTGGTTATAAGATGTGCGATCTGATGCCATGTCGACAATAATAGAAGCCATTCCTTTTTCCATCGTCTAAGTCCATATATCAGTGACATCACTGATATATCACCTATACGTTCAAAATCTTTCATGACTGTATTATTCCAAGTCTTGATTGGCCTTCTTCGCTTTTGGCGCCACCAATCATAGGGTTTAGCAAATAAAATATGTACAAAATATTATATATATATATATATATATATGTCAACTCTTGTAATGGGCGAACGTGCCCTAACCAGTGAAGGCGACGCTCTGTGATAACATTATTTATGAAAGTGGTATTTGAACGAAGGTGGCGATCATATGATATCAGCTCGACGGATCCGTAAAATGTATCTTAGACATGAGTGATCAGAGGCAGATAACTTTTAATGTCCTTCAGCCATGTCTCGCAGCCATATAGCAAGGTCGAACGAATCGCGGCTATATAGATGCGGACTTTCGTTTTTGTGGTAATTTCGACAGCTTTGTAAAGATTTCGTCAACCGGAAGAACGCATTCTAGCTGTTTCTAGCTGCTGTCATCCGGGTTGTAATATCTTTTTGCCATTTGGTATTAGAGTGGATTCAAGATATTCAAAATTGGACACTTCATCAACCGGCAATGAATTCTTTGTTTAGATATTCAGTGAACGCTTTTTATGGTTATCATTGTGCCTATACCGATTTCATTGTATTTGTTCGCCGATCAATTATTATGTGGATAATGAACAAAAACTGATTTGATTAAAAATTCAATCAGACTGTTTTAATTTTGTTTGCAGAAGTACCGATAATGTTTAGTATAACTTTTAGTATTTTGAATATTTTTAGTGGTCACATAGTCCTTTTTTTAATATAGGAAGACAGAAATTTGATTTGGATGGGAGCAATTAGAATGATTATAGATTAATTTCAAGAAATGATATTGCAAAATCTTTTATATGAATTTTCAAGTTAGAAATTTGGTAAAACAGTAATAATTCGTTTTTCGCATATATTCATGATGAAGTTTGAATACATTGCGCAAATAATTCATTCGCTGCCCACTTTAGTCACGACCGAAATTTTCGGAGGAGGATTTTCCTTTTAAAGTCGCTATACAATTTAAAGACGAAAGGACTATGTGACCACTAAAAATATTCAAGCAGTCTTTTGTTTTGTTTAAATTACCACTTTCAATGAACTGCTTTTTTAAAATCTAATAAAAATTTGCTTGAGTTCAATTCCAGTCGTTTACACATGTATTTCTTCCAACTTTTTAAAATCACCGTAAAATTATTTATTTTATGCATAGGGTCACATTCAGATCTATTTTTTACTTTTATTACCATTAAATCAAAAACTCGTGGAAAAATAGTTTTATGCACCAGAATTTTTCGGGTCCTTTATTTGATATTTTGAATAAATTTTAGGTATTTTCTATAAAATTTGCGGATCTCACTTGGTCAAGGAATCGGTGACGTGAAAGACGATACACTCTGTGGACAAATGCTTTCAGGCCAAAAGTTTTTAAGAAGCCCTTCAAATACCTCAGGTCTCCAACGCTCGCCAGAGTTTTTCTGCATCGTTTATCGCATTTACTTTTCTCTATTTTAAACTTCTTCCACGTTAATCCTTTAAGCATATTGCACTATTTCTTTGGCAGAAGATCCAGCCGCCTTCACTTCTTCGTGCCATGACTTCAATTAGGGTAAATTTTTAGCAAATTCTAGCAGCTGCTATTAACAACCAAAATTCACTTCAAATAATAGATCGACGAAGAGAACTATTTTTTTCGCCTTCATATTTTTGCCAAAACACTCGAAAACCAAATCACACATGGACCAATCTTGCCGCTCCCATACTTTCGTCAAAATGACCTGAATGATCAAATTACACATCTGAGATTACCAAAAGACAATCCACACTTCCTTTATTTTTACTAAAGCCTACCTCTCAATTAATTTTATTCATACGTAAATTTCATCAAGACGCGACCACTTTCTGACCACAACATGTAAATTTCTTCTCTTTTCTGATAATATAATAAGTCTCTTAATTCTCTTAATGTCAATCTCTTAATTCTTATCTCGTTGATACAGTATTTTTATTCTGCGTTCTACGAATCCAACAGACAAAATGAAAATTTAGTTCGCATGAATAAATGAAAACAGAAAATGACTGAATCAACTAAAGAACGGTGCATCGTCTCCATCTTGACGTTTGTTGTCCATTCGTTATAGAAGTTCTTGACTTCAATGTACATGATTTCTTTTCTTTTTCCTGAAAATAAAAAAATCTTTTTCTGAGAAACCTTACATTTTTCCATCTTTCATTTGCACAAAATAGATCTTTCGTAAATAACAACACAGAATCCAAAAAATTTGAAAAATCTATTCATCTATAACGCATCGTCCGTAAAACTTGATGACATGTATTCATCTATATAAATGCGCTGTTTTTAGCGCTTAAAAAAATCATAATTCTTTAAGCACTTACCAATCCTGCAGTTTTTGAATTATCTGGCTTCTCGATTACGGTATGCTTCATGTCCTCACTTTGTGGAAATGTAGTTTCAGTAATGGAAGAATCAGTGATCTGCGACTCGGTAGGTACAAATAATGTACCAAGATGTTCAGAAATTGGTGGTTTAGGCTCGTCGGCGATAACTTCTTTCACAGTTCCACTTAGTATCTGCTTCTCGAAATCATCTACCTTCCCGACAACGTTCTCCACCATTCCTTCAACCATTTCTTCCTTCTTTGAATCCAAAAATTCCTTCACCTCCTTCTCCTTTGAAGCCACTAATTCTTCGACTTCCCCTTTTAATTCTTCCATTGTATTTATAAATTCGTTGGTTGGGCCTTTTTCCTCCTCTTTTTGTTCCATTTTATTTATGAGTGCTTCTGATATCTCGGATTTGGAGAAGATAGGCGTTTCTCTTAAACCATCAGCGATATTACTGATTCTGTCCGAAATGTTTTCCACCAGAGAAGATGCTTCATTACTACAAACACGTTTAATAAAATCTGAATAATAACTTAATAATTAAACTTGACTTAATTTTAATAAGAATATAAAGAAACTCATAATGACCTAAAAAGAAAAAGTAAAAGAATTAACCTAATAATATGTATTTCATCGTTTTTAGTCTCTTCTTTTTTTGTTCCAACCTGAGTTCCTTCTTCCTTTTCAGCAGCCTATGAATTTAAATCTATCATTTTTAAAAACAGCGCTGAGAAATTTTTATTTAAAGTTTGAAAGCAGGAAGAATGAGAAAATTTATACCACAGCTGGCGCAATATCCGTAACTTCGTTTGTTGACAGATCAATTGATTTGGTTTTTGGTGGAATTTTAGGTGGGGCACTTTTGGAGGAGTGATCCATTTGTTTAAATTCTTCCGGGACCTCCTCAGCAATATAATTCTAAAAAGAAAATACTCGCAGAAAAAGTAATAACAATTACAACTCGAAATTTTAAAGCCAGCAGACAAAGAAAAATTTTAAGGAAATTATGAAGAAAAAAGCCCTATGGAAATCTTCGGACTCAATTTTTTTTTTTAAGAGTCCTCACCATTACTGGTTAAACTCGCTCCACTGGCTTGTCGCAATTGGTCAATATGCTAAGGAGTCCCTTGGCGATAGAAATATTTTCGCACAGATTTATTCCTGCGGGGAATCGAAGCTCAGCATCGGCACTCCCAATTGGGCAACCCACTGAGCCATTCTATCTCAACTCACTGAAGAATGATTGTGAACTTACTCACCTGCTTATGTCCTAACAGCTCCAACTCTAATCCGCGTTCAGTGGCTGGCATAGCCTCACCAACAACAGCTGAAGTTATTTGTGAACCGTGAAAGTCATCTGTAAATTTGGACGACTCAAAGTCAGGAACTTTTTCAGAAAATGGCTGGTACAAAATAGAAGAAACATCTGCAGGCACAGATTTCTCCAATTCTTTTGTTTTAAATTCGTCCTAAAATTTACAATACTTTTTGTTTAAATAACCGATAATAATCCACTAATCATTAAACCTAAATGCTAACAGTTATGTCAAATATTTGAATAAAAATTCTCGTATATACCATTGAATGAAAAAATTTTTTTAAATGAATCACCATCAAAAACTTATAAAAGAAACGCATTTAATTATAAAAAGACCCATTCATTCTAAACGAAATATGAGGAAACCATTTCGTTAAAAATTCGCAATGAACCAAAAAACGAAATTTGTTAATTTAAGAAAAAAAACCAAACGAAAAAAGCAACACAAAAGCAAAGAGTGGTTCAATCATAATTGCTTTAACCCTTAAAAATATTTCTTTTTAAAAAAACTAATTAAGAAAGATTTGATTAAATATTAAAGAAAGAACCTCATTAATAAACAATTACGAAAGAAATTCACTTCTAAAATTAAATGAAATTTTAAACGAATTCGCTCAAATATTTGATTTGATCAACGACAATCATAAGATGAGAAAAAGTTGAGAGAAACATATTCTGAAAATATTTGAAGCATTTGTCAATTACAACCAAATATGTGAAATAAGAAGCAGAAGAGGCGAGTGGACAGTGGTTCACATTATTTTTAAACCTAAATAACCACAAATTCAATATGTAAATATAAGCATTAACGTGCTTACAGGCGAGGATATCTCCGACAGAAGAAAACTTTAAAAAACTCGCATGGTATTGGCGAACCACCTCTTTATCTATCGCTAAGTGACTCTTTATAGCAATAAGTTCGAAGCGTACTAATACCCAATGGAGCTGGCATAACCGCCAGAAATGGCTGATACTCATTTAGTTAACCGAATGTGGAAATTCACGTTTTTCTGATTTTATTTATTAATTTTTTCAAAATTTTGTTTTATCTTCGTTAATTCCATTTTTTAGCATGCAATTAATTAAATTAGTTTTTTGATACTCTTGCAAGAAAAAAGCAAACAGTCAAAATAAAACGAGTAAATAAAAACTTTCTTCATAGGGAACCTACATTATGAAGTGTTAAATCCTCTCGAATTTTCTTAGAATCATCTTCCTTTTCGTATTTCGATTCATGTTGATAATCCTTACCATTATTACCACTAACTAACAATGGAATTCTTTCACCAAAATTAGTTGTTTGGTACTCTGAGAAATGTTCGTAATGCTTTGCTAAATTAGTTTCTTTAAGAATTGGTATTTTTGAACCAAATTTCTGATGAAATGGTACTTCACTGAAATGCGAGTTTACAGCTTTCTCACCAAACAAATCTGACGATACTGGTGCTTCTATTGCCCACGTTAAGTGTGAACTTTCCTCTGATTCATTCAGTGTACCAAAATCATATTTAAATTGCCTATCAAACACAGTATTTATTGGTTCGCTGTGGCTAATTTGCTGTAAGTTTTGCTGTTTATCAAAAAATTCATTTTTATCACCCAGCATATTGAAACCATTACTTGACAATTCACTTCTATCATTTGCTAGTTTTGGCAAATCTTCGAAGTTTTTCTTTAAGCCTCCATGCTTGCGAAAAAGATCGGCATTATCATAACCATTCGCAAATGAACAAATATTCTCGTCCGACATTTTCGATTCGATCAAATTTATTTCATTTTTATTATCAATATTTATCAATGAAACTTGTCGTTCATTACCATTTAACTCGTCACATGCATTATCAATCTTATCCAGTGGTAGCTGATAATCAGCGGTAACCTCAAAATCATCTTCATTCGTTTCCGCTTCCGCTTCCCATTTATTTAGTGTACGAAATAAATCTTTTTTTTTATTTAAAAATAAATTCAGTGTTTTCTCAATGTTGTTTTGTAAATTCTTTTCATTTTCATGGGACGATGATTGTTGCTGAAAATATTTAAATTTAATCGTTAACCAATGATCGTATTATGGTGGAACCAGGGGCTTTTCTTTAAAAAAAGAAAATTTTTCTTTTTTTTTCCTATCTATTTCGCAACCACTTATTCCATATTCATTCATGCTATTCAGTTTTTCTCTCATCCATTAGAAATTTTTACGCTCAATTAAGATTCATATATTTTTAAAATTTTCCTAAACCAACTGCAATTTAACAGCAATTTATGAAATAAGAATATATAGCTTACATGGATTTCGAAAATTTTAACCAACAGAAGAAAGTCAATTTCGCACCACAAAAAAACATAACCAACCCTACTTCTATAATGCGATTTAAATGGAATTCCATCCCCCACTCCCTTCTCTCCTTTAATTTCACATTTAATCAACTAAATTTTTTTAAAATATTTCATCTTAGAATTCAAATAAAAACACAAAAATTCAAAAATTGTTGAAATTTTGGAGTATCGAAAAATATTTTAGGAAAAAATGGTAATGGATTAAAAATGAGATAAAAAAATTTACGGTAATCGATCAAATTTTCCATTTCAGAAATAAGGAAAACGAAAATGTTGAGAAAAATGAAATAATGCTGCTTAATTTGAAAAGTTCAAGGAAAGAATAACCTCGACCATCATACCGGTGTTCGACGCATCTATTCGAACTTTCGATCCAACTGTTTCGATTTCCCATGAATTTTCTCGCTCACTAAATTATATTTCCAAGCTATTCTTTAAAAATTCAAATTTTGTTTTGCCAACTAATTTTTTTTTCTCTGCCACTTCCACACTTTTTGTGCCTTCTTTCGCTTCTTTTCATTGCTAATATTTCATTTTTCCAAACTATAAAAATTAGACCACCAGCATTTTCAAGAAGAGAAAAAAACCAAATGTGTTTTCAAATTCAGAGCCACTTATAAGTTTAAGTTGAACCATAAAACTTACGGCGAAGAATTTTCATGAATTTGCTCACTTGGTGAGGAATCCATATTAACGCTTTATCGGACTCAAAAACCCCCAAAAAATCGACTTTCTAAATGTTTGCTGTGATGAAAAATAGAACATCGTTAAAATAAAATCCAAAATCATTCACTTCAAATAATTCAATCGTATTAATCCTAATCAATAATTTCAATTTCACTTCGAAATAAATCCACTATCCAAATAAAAAAAATATGGATACCTATGGGAATGTGCTTACGGCTGGAGCAAACGCCAATAGTTTATAAAAAGTGGCGCTAGACTAACCAGGAAATGCCATAAGCAAAAACTCTAACCATAAAGCTTTGGGTGCTAATTACATCGAGTCTGATTATTTGGGTTACGCATTTAAATAAATTCAGAGCGTCTCCACATATAAGCTATTTAAGCTCAGATGTAGCGCGAGTAGCGGATAATTTCAAAATGTGAAAGGTGATCACTGAAGAAAAGAAAATCAGAAAATGAGAAGGGAATTCGGTGTTATTTTCAAATAATAATAACTCGAACCGCGACGATAATCTCCATAAATTTCTATTTATCTTAGTCATCCTTTTATCCTCAATTAATTAATTGTGCTTAAAGCTACCCATCCTCTTCGGACACATTCTATGCGATTTCACGGATATTCCCGATAGCGGATATTCGATATACTTTTGGGCAAACAAATAAAGTGAACATATATGAGAAGTACGAAAATGCAGAAACGGCTCTTTTATCTGAATCATTTTTTCGAAATGAACGCTTTGTCCAACGACTTTTCTTTACACATTACCTGTCAGAAACGCCTAGAATTGAAAATCGATGGATCTGCCTCGCTAAATTCTCATATCATCTTCATCACTCAACTAACGAACGATTAATTTCCTACTGGAATTTACATTTAAAATACTCATTCAAAAAAATTCCAATTTGCAAATTTCAAAATTTCTGAAGTTCAAAATTTTTATCGGTTTTATTGAAAAGGGTCATTAAAAAGTCAAATTTAAATTTAATAAATTTGCTGAAGAAATAAAATTACCGGAACCCACGATAAATCGAAATAAAAAAACCTTTCTTACAATAATCGCATGAAATTCCATTCGAGTAAATTTTATTTCGAATTTTTTCAAATATTTGTAAAACCAAAAAACAAATTTTTATTTTCATTTATCTATTATTGAATTTTTAATTAAGTCCTCACCATTACCGGTTAAACTCGCTCCACTGGCTTGTCGCACTGGACAATATGCCAGGGAGTCCCTTGGCGATAGAAATATTTTTGCACAGATTTATTCCTGCGGGGAATCGAAGCTCAACATCGGCACTCCCAATTTAGCAACAACTCACTGAGCCATTCTATACCCATCTATTATTAATTACATAAATCCAACAAGAAAATTTAAATTTACTTTTATTTGTTTATTATTTTTCCTTGAAATTCAGGAAATTATTCTTCCTTATTCAAAAAAATCATTGCAATAAATTGTAGGGAAATTTGAGTGAATTTCAAATCAACTCAGTATCACTGAAAAAAGAATAAATGACAATAATTTAGGCAAAACCCTTAACGATTCATTTAGCACAATGTTACTTCCTCTTATAAACAATGAGAGTATTCGCAGTAAAAGTAACGCTGAAATAACAATTCTTACAAAATCACAGGATCACAAATCTGGCGATTTCATAAAAACGATATTACGAAATCAAAAAAAAACGTCGAAAACAAGTCGATGAATTGATAAATATAAGCTTATTTTATCAAATAAAAACCTAACAATTTAAAAAAGACATCGCAAAGAAGTGTAATTCACCTTTGACATTACAGACATTATTGTCAAAATATGGTAAGAATTTCATGATGAAAATTTGTCATATTTAGTGCAAATTCCAAAAACACACCGGAAAAATTTTTTTAAAATTTTACAAACCAAAATTGTCTTTTTGAATGGTTTATTCGTGCAGAACTTAGAAAATATTACCCATAAATCAGAAACATAAGTCTCGAATTCATGAAATTTGAGTTGAGGCGACTGGCATTAAATTTTCAAGAAATTAATATTACTTATTACTTATATTTATTATCTGTTATAAGATGAAAATTTTATTTCAAATTTGATTGCAAAATGAAGAAATGAATAAGAGCAAGTAAGAAAATATGCTGTTCTTGCACAGCTGATATATTTCTTTATGTAATTCATCTTCTCTCGCTTATAACATAAAAGCCTTAAAACTCAAAAATTTTGCTCTTCTGCCACAAAACTTTACTCATCTTTTATGCGATTCATAGAAAAAAATTTCGTTCTATTTTTCAACAAAAAGATTAAAAATTCGAAAAATTAATTTTCCAGATTAAATGAAATTAAGGTTGATTTGTTTCTAAAGTATGACGTATTGTCTACATCAGTGGTAAGTTTCAGCCTCTAACAAACGTATAAACTTCCAATAAAGCATTGCAGCTTTCACAAAATTTTATCGAAAATTTCGCATTCAAAAGTTCTTAGGTTTTCTATAAATAAACATACTTCAACTTCCGAATTTCTTATAGTAAAAAACCAAAAAGTAAGAATGCAAGTAAGAAATGAAATGGATAATATAACACACGCATAATGAATGATATTAAAACAATGTTAGAATGTTAAAACAATGCAAAACTGCAAAATTTAACTGTGCAAGTTATTGTAATCAAATTTCTGTTAATTTTCCTGATGAAGTTCTTTATTAGTTGTCAGAGAATCTTCTTAGATTTATTATTTTTTATTACCGTCTTCACTATTATTATTATCATTATTATTACTATTATTACTATTGATTTTGATTCGTTAATTTCTTCATTAAACTGCGTACAATTTGGCAATAAGGTAAAGATGAGTAAAAAAAAAACAAATAAAAGCATACATTGTTTTGACGCAGTAATTGCGAGGAAGAAACTATCTGTTCCTTTTCCTCTTCATCCTGAAACTGACTGATTACAGTTCATCAACGCAAAGAGTTTTTAAAGTTTCCAAAGCAAGAGAAGCTCAGATGATAATGATGCGACAATAAGGCTAGACTGAAATATTTTCTAAAAAAAGAAAAATTTGGCAAAAAAGTTTTTATATTTTGAGATTTGTATATTTCTATGAGATTCGGAAATTCCAATAAAAATCTATTAAATTCTTTTTTAAAAAATTATTTAATATGAATTCAATTTTAATTTTATTGTCTTAGTCGTTATCTTACGTTTATGATTCGTGAATAGAAAAAGAAAATTTCTTTAAAAATTATTTATTCATGTGAGATGAACTTTAAATCCACCATCTATAAAATTAGAAAAATGTGAAAATAAACAAACATCGGTTAACATTGTAGTAATAACTTTATGAAAGGTTTCACCAACAAGATCATCAATATCACCTCCACCAGTGTGCTGAAAAACTTTCCATAAATAATCTTTTCCATAAAATACTTCTATATTCTTTTCAAGATAATTAAATCTCAGAACTGTGATTGCGATTACATAATATTGTAATACATTCCATTCGCACAAAGTTGATGAAAAATAGAAGATAAAAATCTAATGATAAAAAATGTATAAAACCAAATTTTTTCACAAAAATTAAAAAATGTTATGGAAAACTTTGTTTCCTTACAAAAGTGGTAAAAACAAACCACTATTTTATTTGAACCTTTGCCTTCTTTGTCCGAATCATTAGCAGATTCTGGTTTTTTATTATCTTTATCATTGATTTTATTACTATTTGAGTCCTTAACCAGTAAATCAGATATCTTCTCATTATCGGCTTCATCGATTTCTTGATTACTTTGATTCAATCTATTGCCATTTTTGTCCTCTTTTATTTTAGAATTTCCATCTTGCATCTCATAAACTTTAACATCAGTCTTGTCGCCATTTGTGATGGATACTACGATAGTGCCATTTTCTACAACCGCAGTTGAATTATCAATTTTAGATTTTTTCAAATCGATCAATTCACCTGAATCCTCCATCTTCGTCAACACATTTGTTTCTTTTTCCTTTAATTAATCAAATTAGCAAGAATGATTTGAATGATTTAAGCATCTAAAATAATTCGTGTTTATTTTCAATTCAATGATCAATTTTTTCCAAGCTAAACATCCGAATTTCCCATCGCTGTTTTCTTCATCTAAAATGACCTTATAATCTATATGCTGAAATTTCCTTATAAGTAAAAGAATCATAAGCAATAAATTTTGTTTATACAGTGGCTTTCAATGAAATACTACCGGCGAACTATCTTAAAAAATTCCTTAAGATAACAATTTCATACTACCAAAAATATCTAAAACCACTTAACCAAATTCGCAATAAACTTATTCAATAAATCCTTTTACACACTCAAATCTTTACATAAAAACTTTTGTTCTTATTCGCTTATATTAATAAATTAAAATATTCTAGCGAAGAGATCTGCAGGGCAACCTTATTAATTACTTTTTAGCACCCAATCCAAAAAATTACTAAGTAAAAAACAAATTAATGAGTAAATATAAGTTTAGGAAAAAAATAAATTCATTACGCGAAAGTTTGACTAAATTTATTATTAGAAATAAAATGAAGTATAATTGAAAAGATCCCGCAATGAAGAAAACAAATAAAAAATTAATAAATTTATGAATGTATGAAAGTTATAAGTGGAAAATGAACGATAAGCGATAAATGATAAATAATAATACAAATGATAAAAATTTCCAACACTTACATGAATTAAATCATTTTTTAAAATACTATCGACAATCTGCCGACTGATTTCGTTTAAAACTTCTTCACATGAATCGCTACAATCTTTCTGCATTTTCTGCGCAAAATTATTATATCGTAATTGGAAAGAAAAAAAAATTCCACTCAAAATGCAAAAAATTTTCCGATCGCCTTTATTGGCCTTTGCTGAAAGATTTATGCAAAGTATACCGAATTTATTACATCGAAAAAATAGCGAAAAAAACAGCGAAATGTCGAAACAGCACCCTTTGAGCCGAAAACTCCAATAAATTAATTTTGCTAGCAAAAATTTTATTAAATGAATAGTTTTCTTTTGCATATTAAAACCGTTAATAAAGAAATTATGAATAGCGAAATGCGAAATGGGATCAAGCGGAGAATTCTATTCAACAAGCTGCGATTGAACTAAACACTTTCGCTCGGAAATGTAATCAAATGGACTGCTATACAGAAACTTTCGATAACATAAAATCAATTTTTTCACTCTTTTGGCAAAAAAATTATTTCATTTCCAAATAAATCAAGATTTCCTCTCGTTTCACAGAAAAAAATGAGAAAAATCAAAATTTTTGTCCATAATTTATTCTTTCTAATTCCTTAATATTCAATATTTTGTGAGGTGCACCTTAATCCTTATTCCAACCGACACACACGTCACTCATTTTAATTTATTTCAATAATTTATGTGGAAGACAGCGACGCTTATTAAAAAATAGCAGATCCAAGCAAGAGGTAGACGGAAGGTGGGGCTATAACGTGCAGCAGAACTATAGCATGACAAGGAAAAATTCCTGCAAATCAATGCTGAGGAAGAAAAAACAGCTTTTACTGACTATTTACTGGAATCCTTTAAAAAAAGAATTATCAATGATAATAACGAAGAATAATGAAGAGGCTTTTCGTGCTTCTCGGTTATGCAAACCATTGACCGTCACTGGTGAAAAACTAGTAACTAAAAAACGCGACACGAATCATAAAATCGAGCACCCGATATATAGTTGGTGCTAAAAAACAGTTAAAAAGGAAGCAACGACGGAGATGGAGAAGATGAAGATGAACAAAAAAGACGAGGAGATAAAACTTCGAATGGTGTTGTCTTTGAAACCTATAAAAAGCAATCATCTTTTTTTTCATTGCAACAAATTTTTTTTATAGTTTTGTTCCTCCATTTTCATAATTTTCTTCCAGTTTTATGCAAATTTTTATTAGATTCAAATTGAGAATTTTTCAATTTTTTTCAAGTTTTTCAAAAAGAATGATGTAAATAATAAAAACACACAAGAATCAGAATTTAAACAAATAAACAGATTTTTCAACAAATTTTCGTTTAAAGATATTTTATTAAACGACCTGGACCACAACCAAAAAAAAAAAAAATTGAGGAAAACAATTCTCGAACAGAGCCGGATTCGTTCCACTTACTGTCATTACGACAAGAAATTCTTGCATCACTTGATGATGGAAATACAGGTGGATAGATAGACAGCGTTATTCGGACTTATTACTCAGTTTATTCCTGCTAAATATTTTATCAATATCCTTACCCTCCGACTGAATCATTAACCACTCAATTACCCTACCTTCACTCATAATTTTCCAAAAAAACCTTACTCCTAAATATTTCTATTCCTCGAAATTTCTACACTATTAGCAATCAGCTATGAAAAAACTTGGTAATTTTTCATCACAAGGACATAGGCGACCTCCCCTAACTGCTGAAGAAATAATATTGCTTTGAAATTAGAGACGAGACGAAATTAGAGCGGAGATGAAATAATACTGGTTGCGAGACGGATATAATACATTATGATTGATAAATTACCAATGATCACAACAACATAGTGCCAAGAAATAATTTTTCTCCTTATTAAATGATCAGAACTGGAGTAGATACTCGCTCACCACGCTGCTTGCACCAGGTCTAGAGTTATTATTCTAGTAGCCACTAAAGCCAACCACACTAGAAAATGATGTTCGTAGAAACAAATTACTGGCGAGGAATACAACAGAAGATGGAGATAAAGAAGAATGAACAAGTATATAGATTTCTGACTTCTATATGCAACCAGAAAGTGCCAAAATTTAAATAACCTTCCTCCCTAAACTTTTTCACTAAAAAAACTAGTACAAATAAATGCAAAATGCTGGAGGATAAAAATTATAAACAAAAGAAATCCTCGGCGATAGTTTCACTGAATGCGAATTGATCGTTTAGAAAAAATAATAATGAAAAGAGTAATGATCAGTGGAAACAATATGAATATTTTAAAAAACTCCATTATTTTTAGGAATAAAAATATTTAACTTGTAAAGAAAGTGACTATATGTGGTTCGAATAAGTACTACTAATGGACCCCTGTTACTGATATAATGGCCCATACCCGCTTTAAAAGTAAGTTTTTCAACAACTCGTTTATCACTATTTAGGCTGCTATGCCTTGTATAGATGAAATATAGATTCTATATGCAGCTGAACATCACCTCTCCCAAAAAACGATATAACTATGATCGCATGAAATTGTAGTGCGTATACGCAGAACGTAAAGAAACAGGTGATAGTATGTTTTATGCTGAAGACTCTACGGACTTTTTGGGAGAGGTATCAACAATATATGCTATCAACATTGCAGAAAACACTCTCTCGCAACGCTTGAATGAGATTAATTTTATTTGATTAATCATTCATGGGTCATCGAAAATCGATGAAAGAATACCAGATGACATCCCTCATACCAGAGCCGAAAATGGCAACGCCCTCGAGTCTGACTATATTGTGGTTACAACCAAGAACCGAATGAAATTTTACGTGGGAAAAGCCCTAAAACTGACTACCTCTAGAAGATTCAGAAAGAGCCAGTACATTTCAAGGTGAGATAATGGAAAATCTAAATGATAATTTTAATATTTCTGAAATCGGCGATGAGTGCTGATCCCACATGAAGTAATGTGTTAGCTAAATTCGCCAAGGGATTCAGAACTCGGAGAAAGCAAGTTGAGCATCGGATAAAGAAACAGTTGTTCGGTAACGCCACCAGAGCGTGCTTGTCAGAATTTTTTTTAAAGAGCTCACACCATTAAATTCGCTCCTCTTGCTTAACTAGACAAATATGCCAGAAAGTCCCTTGGCGATAGAAGTGCAGGTAAGCCGCCAGCATCACACGGATTTCTGGACAGGTTTACTCGTTCGGGGAATAGAATCTCAGCATTGATGGTCCGAATTGACCAACAACCCAATAAGCCATTCTATCCCTTAGAAGATATTAGCTATATGTAGCTCCGTAGACTAACAATGGTCACGGCGAAATTGGAGAAAAATCGATACTGAAACGATGTAAGTTTGAATATGTAGATAGAAATGGGCGATCTTCGAAAACTACTCCGCCGACGTCGCAAGACAGTCGAGGCTCAAGAAATGGTCAAAGAAATAACCCGAGATAAAAGTGGAAATTCCCTTAAGACCATGAAAGATCGTCTTAACCAATGGATAATGTTCTTTGAATCTGATCTCAAATACGACAAATCATCCAACATTTCGGATAAATGGAAGGCACTTAGGGCAATGTGCAATTGCAAACGAACGACAGAAGTCAAGACAATCTGTGTAATTCGCACTGAATTCTTCAAATGTTACCCACTGTTCCACAAAATTTATAGTCACAGGTGTGGAAGAAGCAAATTCCATGTGACAGGAACAAGACAATTCTGCTCTCAATTGTGAGAAAAGTTAATAGAACTCAAAACTATCGACGAAAAATCATCTTGCGAGAGACTTATGGCAGTGGGTGAAATCAGTCTTTAACCAGGCCCGGTCTAAGTCAGGATGTGGCGATGCTAACAAAATTTTCGCGCTGAGGGTACTGGAAGGGTACTCATGTCGATTAAATATACCGTTACCTGTTTCATCGACTTCACAGCTGCTCTTGATTCAATCAACATGGTGGCGCTCTAACAAGTCATGACATTTAAGACGTATCAGTCCAAAGCATAGTATCGCAGTCCCTAGACATCTTTTTCATTAACAACTACGAGAAACTGCAACAGAATACATCAAGTGTATCAGCAATATCAGCAAAAATTAGCCTCCATATCAATGAAAATAAGATAGAACTACTTCGTATTACACACGAGATGCTGATTAGACTAACTACAATTCAAATAGATTCATCAACTGTAGAATTGTCGAATTTTAAATATTTCGGATCCCACTCCAATACTTAACAGCCAGGTGATAGATGAAATTCTACTCCAGCAGTTGCAGCCAAATATTTCCTTTCGTGTGGCGAAGTTCCTCCGAAACCGCCGCGAAATAGCCTCAAAATAAAATTTCTTATCTGTCTGACTGCACGATTTTGCTACTCGACGACAAGATTTGGCCAGAAAGAGTGAAAGATGTGAAGAAGCTTCTACCTTTGACCAGTACTGACCAAGATATAGGCAATCCAGCTATGATGGGTTCTATAATAGAAAAATTTAAATTTTATAATTTCGATGGAAATTCAAAAAAGTGAAGATAACTTTTTCTTCGCCATAATTAATCAATCAATTGCAGGCATTACGGCCTCAGGTCTAGCGTTTCGATCGTCACCTCAACCACGGCTCGACCCCATACCTGGCAACGGATTAAAATTATGAAAAAAATAACGCATATATTTTTCATGCATCGATGAAATACAATGGAAAATGCCTGTTGGGCACTGAGCTTTCTTTATTCCTCTATCCCGCCATCAATTGGCTCTCTAATTACCATATAATTATGTCGAATTCTACTAATCAACAAGGCAAATCTGATCAAAAGAAGTACAAGCTGTAAAAAAGAAATCTCGATTTCTAACCAAATCTGAAAACATTTCACGAAAAGAAAATTTCCAATAAGTGATACCTTATTTCCTATTTTTCCCTTATCTATTCATCGATGAAACCTTTATCACTTTCATCAACCGTAACTAAGCAAATAACATCTTTAACGATAAACATAAAACTCCCTTATAAAGCAATAAATTAATTTCATTATCATCAATCCACCAGAAATTGCTGAAAATGTTGAAGAAATTAAACCATCTAATCAAGAAATAAGAACCGAATCAAAACAACTTTTCTGAAAAATATTCGCAAACCGTCTCCCACACTGCGATCACATGTAGTGCAAATATTTACCAAAAATGTGACTCATTCTTTATCACCCAATGGAAAATAATCGAAAGCATGCAAGCAATGAATATCGGCAATTAACAACAATAATGCTCGGATTGTTTCTCCTTTATGAACATTTTTGATAAATTTCATCACTTTCGCAAGAAGTCCCGCGTTTCCAGTATAACCACTTCTGCACTTCATTACTTAATGTATAGAACACAGGAACTACAATGGAGGCCAAGATATCACATCTTTGATAGGGGTAAACCATCCCTCATTTGTACTAAAGTTTAGTAGTACTGAAACCTTATTCGAAAAATTGCCCATATGACCACAATTGGAATTCCTGGGTGCTGCCAGAATTTCGCTATCTTTCCCACAGCTCAATATTTCTTCCACTTTTCAAGCGACTGAACCAATTATTAACAAAGATAAAAATATTAGGAAAAATATAAAAATTGCGATGAGATGAAAATATTACGATAAAACATCGAAAGGAAAAACATGAGAATGAATTAGAAAGATTTATTTCCACAATCTCAAATTTTCCTACAATTTCTAGCAGTTGTTTCATGAAATCAGAGTAATAGGATAAATTGCTAACGCCTTCCAAAACATAACTAATTTGGTGGCGAATTTCTATATTAAATGGTGGAAAATTTTTTACAAAAAAAGTACATATTAAATGAATTTTTGATGAATTATTTGCGCCTAGCTCCACCACCACCTATTATCATAGCCATTCGAATAAATATATTCAGGACGTCAAGATAAATTGACATTTGCCTGAAATCCAAAAATTATTAAACAAAAATTAATAATTTTCATAACAATTGATATTTCAAAAACTTTTGCGATGAAAAAAAAAGAAACGCATACGCGTTAATAGGATCGAAGCGTCGCATACTATATAATGGTTGCATTTCATAGTCATAATTAAATTGATTCTTGAGAACAACAGGGTAGCTTTCAGCTAGTTTCACAACTCTTTGCGTATCATGAAGGAGAAAGGCGGAAAATAAAATTAAGCCGCCATAAACAACAATTGATGCTAAACCTGTAACTTTTGTATAATAATAGCAAATTGAAAACAGTAAAAGTGATTTGCACTTTGGCATTTCAGTTTTGCACTTTTCAGTCTTGATTGTGATTTTTAAATAACCAAAAACAAAATGAAAATTTGGCTGAACATACTTGCTCCCAATGCAGTTCCAGGTGGAAAAAAAAATGTTCCAATATTAGCGACGAACACAATTCCTAGACCCATTGCAAGTGGACCATACATTTTTAAAAACTTTTCAGAAGGAGCAGAGAAAGCAATCAGAGATAAACCTAAAATCAAATGAAAGCACTACACCACCTTCTATAAGACCATTTATTTTCATTCAAAATAACCTCCAGTTAATCCTGCCGTATACCATGCAGCCCGAATGAGCGCTGGACCACCAAGTATGCAAAGTGGTGCCAACATTGCACCCATGATTCCTGCATGGAAAAGCCAAGCAATGTGCTTCATCAACGTATTATCATAGTTTATTGCTCTCGTAATCATACCACTACCAACTATTGCCGCCATCGTCAGAAGAAAAACCTAAACACAAACAGAAAATAACATACATAGAACAAAAATTTTCAAATTCTTACTCCAACACGACCAGTTGACATCAAATTCATGATAGTAGGTGAACGCGACGCCATAACTGCTGATGTAGCAGTTGCCAGCAGTGAACTACCAAAATATCCATATGTTAACTGAAGGCGACTTCGCACATATTCGGGCCATATTCTGTAAAATGACGAAATAAGGACAAAGAATATCTAGGTTTTCCCAATCTACGTTCGGCAAAAAACTTAATTTCTAGTTCTTTTTTCTTACCACGAATTATTTATGCGCGATAGGATCCCCATATTATGCTGCAACAAAAACAAAATATAGGAATGGCCTTGAAATTAAACCTGACAGGAGGATTCAACTATCTAATGCGCTATCTGACATAAAAGAGGATTAAAAGCCCTGAAAACTGATCTCATTAAAACCTTACCTCTGCTTCCTTTTCACCACCTATTCATGCACGATAGCGTTTACAATTTATTTCAAAAATAAAATAGTTATTACCGTATTTTTATAAATACATTATATTTAAATGAATATAAACAATATTTTTAGTTTTTCTTACTTTTTCTATGGAAAATGATTTGATTATACATTAAAAAAATACTTGAAAACATCATTTTTTTTTTATTCAAATAACCACAAATTCGATTTAAGCGTTCCGTAATCACAATGAAATTCACTACGTGCTGTGTGGTAAAAAAAAAATTTATTTGAATCTTAATAAATTAATTTGATTTTATTGAATAATAGGAAAATTAATACGTCATATTAAATGCTGCGGAATCAAGCTGCGAGCCATATAGTCCGTAGTAACACATCAAACCAATGCCAAACGCAGAAGCACCAGCTAATGCATAAGTTCCGTACACAAATGCTTAAATAAATTCAAAAAATTCAAATTTGAAAAATATTTCGCTGGATGTAAAACGCCTAATAAAAAGTGTTTAAATCATGTAAAAAAAGTTTAAAATCAATTTTAAAAACAGATAAAATATTCTGAACCATTATGAAAAATTAAAAAAATAACGTTTGCCAGTTGTAGGTCCGAGTAGCCGCTCTCGAAGTGTTTGTCCAATTTTCGCTTGCCCCATTCCCTTGAATAGCCAACTAATATTTTGTAAATTATATTACAGTAAAAAGAAAATCTGGATAGCATAACGTCAATAGTCGACAATAGTCAACCAGCGAAACAATTAAACTACATTATGCCTTTAAATTCCAAACTTATTAAATTCATTTTATAAGATTATAACTGTAAACTATTTGCTACTTGCTCCGACTAGTCGTTCTTGGGAAATAAAGCAAACAGTAGAATGTCCGCATTTTTAGATATTTCAGCGCTTTTCTTTCATCACTAAAGGAATATGGCAACTGGCCCATTAACCAATAATAATTAATAATTAGGTATGGTACGCCAAGTTCCTTTTCAAAATAAAGCAAGATATTACTTGATATTTCGTGAATCGCCCACTAATGCCAGTTCTTGAACCTTTAATGGATGACTGAAAAAGACGCCGAACTGCCAGGATAGCAGAACCTCGACTAATCGTATTCGGCCCACACGTTGCTGATAATTTTGATAAAAGTACCATCGCTGTCGTGATTCTAAAAAATTCTATTCGTTTGTTAACAAACACTTTATGTTGCCCATTTCACTGTTAATGGATGATCTTTCCACGTTAAACTGAAACAAAAAATTGAAACGCGACATTTTCACAGATAAATTTAAAAATTATGAAACATTTTATTGCCTTGACCCTAAAGATCACAAGGATGCCAGTAAATGACCAACGACTTCCTCCTACATTTTCATATTTTTCGATCGCATTGACAGGGGACTGAGAGGAAGTTACAGCGATTTCCTCTCCTTTATTATCTTTCTCGTAATTCCTTCATCATGAAATATTTCCGTGAATTAATAATCTCTATTTTCCAGCCAAGAAGCAGTCGTCGTTGTTGCATACCTAATCGAGAATCCCTAAACCTAAATTGTCTCATTAATCCACTCCTATTGCCACCCTCAACCATATTCTGGCAATAAAATATTTAGACTTGTATAATCAGCTATGATTACGAAATAAAGGATCTTGTGATGCTTAAAATATCGGCTGAAGCCGATCCGCTTAGTTGAAATATTTAATTCGCAGATTAATTGAGAAACAATTTGGCTGGTTTCGTGATCAGGTGATTGGGCTGTGGTTGTAATTTGAGGATTTCTGGGGATGAGGGGCAGGCATTGCAGTGGAGAGGATCGTTAATGATTTTACTCTCAGATGAAGTTTGTTAGTCAGAAATAGCAATAACTGGCTGAAGTTCGTGTTCTTTGTGATGAACGATTTTTTACGCATTTTCAAATTTCCAGCGGTCTTTTCTGACAATATTCCGGTACATTATATATACATATATATATATTATTTTAAATTTAGCAGGATATTATGGTAATTGTCCTCAGTAGTTCCATGGATAATGGAATGGAGATACATTAAGTGATTTATTTGACCAGCACGTGCTCTTTTATTATATTTATCGTTAGAGGCGTTGGCTGTTGTAGCAAGGTCTTTAACTTTGAAAGCTTGGTCGTACTATTCACATCATCTGAAGTTCCGGCTTTGATCTGCTGTCAGAAACGAATTTTTTATCTGCATTCTGTGCTTCTTGTTTTATTATGATCAGTTCGATATTACCAAAACCAGCATACATCATTATGCTCGATTTCTACATAAATAATGAAGGCTGTTATAATCGAGCGGTTTAGTTCCTCAGATTTATTTCCTGCATTAGAGGTTCAGTTCTCCTATGGGAAGCGAAGTCGTCATTGAAAAGTTCGGATGATTGCGACTCACTTGTATTTCCATTGCCAAAGGACTGGCAAAATTGTGTCAGTGGATAAAAAATTATCGTATGTAATGAGCACTTTTAGACAATTTTTAGGCGCTATGAGTTGTATTAAAGACTTGAAAGGAGCATATGGTATTCCATAAGATTATTAATTTCCAGCTTTCACGATTGCGGTGTGTTGGTATTTTTCATGGATGTATAATTAAGCGAAAAGTTGGGCTGTGTTGTGTCGACCATTATAAGTAAAGATCTCGATCTCGATCCAAGCTTATCTATTTGATATATCTGCCTAAATGATGAGGCTAGTTGGTCAGGCACCGACAACGAGTCATACGGAACATGGTGACAAAATCATCATTGAACTAAATGATGAGATGAAGAGATCACTTAAACCAAGTGCATATCAAGGTAAACCAGAAAAGGTATAGAAAAAATGAGATAATATGGAGGACGGCATAATGGACACGCTTTCAGTGATCATATTTATAGTTGCACAACTAATCGACATAATTACTCAGGGAGAATAATTTTCTTCTGATATAGGCTTACAGAGAAAACGTTTCTTCAAATCGCAGTGAATGAGAATGTGAGAGATGTCATTAGGTTCTTTTAATTAACATTATTAACAAAAGAACATTAATTAATCAGTCAGAAGTTTGGGTAGATCTACAGCTCTGCACTGATATTCTTCGGTCTAAAATGTAATTTTTTCTTACTGGTGGCGCTCCGTCATAAATTATCTTCAAATCTTGTGTATTTTAATTGCAAAAAAGAAATTTACGTTTGCAGAAACAGTCACGGAATCAAAACCTGAAGGAGGCGAAAGTGAAAACTATGAATGTGCTTTGAATGGATGGCATACTTCAAAATCACTATATAGGTGAGATGGATTTTGGCTGATAACTGCATAGCTTTATTTTGATTATTATGATTTATTTCGATTGAAATTTTCAACAGCAACAGAGTGGCATAAGTGAAAAAAATAGTTAATTAAAATATTTATTCTTTCTTGCACACAAGGCTTGGTTAATTTTAGTATTATTTTATGTTTAATCGAGAGGGTCAGGTGATGCCGTCGACTCAACTATACTTCCATCGCCAAGTGCCGTGGCAAAATTTGTCTGGCAGGCTAGCTGAGTGAGCGAGCTTAACTAAAAATGGTGAGAGCTCTTTAAAAAAAACTGACAGGATAAAACAGTGATAGTACTCTTGCATTTACCAAAACCATTTTCATTCCTGTTTAAAACTTGCGTAATTAAAACGTGAAAACAAAATAACACAAAACAATTTATTATAAAATGACAACACAAAAACATAAGGGAGGAAAACGAGGTTATCGAACAATAAATTATCAATAAAACATATGAGACCTAACCACACCGGTGCCGCAGTCACACTATGATAACGAAGGCAAATTAAAGAATCGTTGAGTATGATTTATCAGCCCATGCCAACCGAAGATTTACAAAATTTACTACGAAAAGGATCCGAGTCTCGAATTCAAATATTTTTATACAATGAAAAGACTGAGTTAATTAATAGAAGCAGCGTTTTAAACTATAAATAAGCAATGCCTTTTTAAATTCGGATAAACTGTAAACAATCACGAGAAAAAGAATTTAAAAATTCTTGGACCGAGATATCCAAGAATCGTTGAAGCACATTATGATTTGAATTCTCAGGACCTCACAACACAAGGGAAGTTACTGGATTGCCAGTATCTCCCTTATATCCATTCAATATGGCAAGAAAGACGAATTATGATTCCCTCTGAGATCTGCATAAAGTTATAAGCACTATAGCGAAAGAAGATGCTATCTAGGAGAATTTGTTGAGATATCAAACTACCCACAAGCTGTAGTGCTTCTAACTACGGTTCAAGCACATTTTACCTAATGGGAAATTGCTAAGGTAGAATTGATTGTTTGGCACAGGAAAATATGGCTAATGAATCATATCTATCGAAACAAAATTGTAATAGAATTGTAACAAAATTATAATTGATTTGTGACAGGTTGTATGATAGATTTGATTAGATTTGAACGTTAAGAATTGTAAAAACGATTTTAAAAAAGATGTTCTAAAAATTTTGTTTTTGATAAAATTCTAAACTCATAATTTGATGGGGAAAACGTGATTAAGATTTTGGCTTAGACCTGGCAAATCTTTGGAGGTCACCGCAGAAAAAAATTTAACAATTCTCGATTAAGCCAGGCGAAAAAACCTGAAATATAGTTATTCATGCTCATTACTTAAAATCCCTGTAGACTTTGTGATATCGATTAATGCATGGTTGCAAAGATTTGTTGCTCAAAAAATAGCATTTCTCTTTGTTTCGCTTTCTTCCAGTAATTAATAATTATGAAAAACAAAAAAAAAGAAAAATTCTGTTAATAATTAGAATGATAACATGTTTATATCATTTTAAAATGTGATTTTTATTGCAAAATAGTTCTAATAATAAAACAATATCGCAAAATTAGTTACTCATTAAAATATTATTATTTGAATATTATTAAAATATTATTTGAATTATTCGCTGTACTTTCAGAATATTTGTAGTCAAAAAAATGGAAAAATTAATTGTGACGATTTTATAATTAATTAATAAATTATAAAATGATATAAATATGATATAAATAATATTAATTGTGACTACTAATATTAATATTAAATGATATAAATATTAATTGTGACTAATATCGAGAAAATTTTTAAAGATAGAAAGGCGAAGTAAGCCTGCTCATTCTTTTTTTTGCCGAAGGGCTATTGCTGCTTGCTAGCGGCAATATTTTTTAAAGAGTCCTCACCATTACTGGTTAAATTCGCTCCACTGGCTTGTCACATTGGGTAATATACCAAAGAGTCCCATGGCGATAGAAATACAGGTGAGTCGCCAGTATCACCCGGATTTTTGGACAAGTTTACTCCTGCTGGGAATAGAATTAGCATCGGTACTCCTCTCCGAACTGAGCAACAACCCACTGAGCCATCCTATCCCTGCTTTTTCTGCTTCGATGAATTTTTTTTAAAACAATCAAATTTTTTTAAAAAAATTTTGGCAACTGAATGCAAGTTAAGGCTGTCTGTATTTGTTTATCTTTTTATAGAATCTATTAGCCTTGTGGAAAAAATTTCTGCAAAATAGCAGTTTCATCGCTTTAGTCAAGAAGTGATCACAAAAAAAACTTTTGGGAAGATTTCATAATTTGTAAAATCAGTCCAATTCAGCATTTCAATGTCTGCTTAAGAGATTTCTTCCAGAGACTTCTTTCTATTTTTTTCTAAAATTAAATTTAAAACATTTTAAATATTCATTGAATAATAATGGAAAATTTTTTTTAAATTTAAAACTTAATTTTTTTTTTCATATAAGAGACAATAACGAAAATAAAAAACTTCGCACATTAAAATTTTTATCCGGAGGAATTTGGAATGTAAAAATGGCGAATGAAGCGAGTGGTTTTCAGCTATTATCGCCAAAATTGCCTCACCAAATATTTGCTTGGGTTGAAACTGTTATTTTATTATTGGTTATAATTCCAATTATTAAATTATTCAAGTAGTCCACTTGTAATGTAAGCTAAAATTTTTTAAATTTCTATTTTATTGTTTATTGGCACTAAATTCAATAAATTTATTTTTTAATTTCCCACAGAGCCCCATTCGCTTGATGTTGAGAAATTTCGGTGAATTCGATAGTTCTTCTAGATAGAGTGATTCAGTTCATGTACCTCTCTTCATGCTATTCTCTGATAAAAAATTTTTAACCACACTGACAGTCAGCCGCTTGCCCAACTAGAAATAGTGAGCGACAACCACTTATTTGCTTCACATTTTTTTTCAAAAATTTCTTCAGAATTTTAAAAAGTATTTTACGGAAAATCACATTATTATAACTTATGATTTTTATTTTGTTTTAGAATTTGTTCACTTCGGAAATTTCAAATTTTTGGCGAAAAAAATTAGTTTCTTACATATAATGACTACTGCATTAAATGTATCTTTTCGATATATTCGAATGCAAAATTCATCAGCGCAAATCTATGAAAACATTTCTCCTAAAATTTTTTGTGATTTTATTGAAGCGATGGTTGCACTTACTGCTGCGGATTTCCCAATCGAACGAGCAGCAGTTACTGATAAGCATATCATTACGAAGAATGATACAGTACTATTAAAAACTTTTTGGATGTACGGAAAAGTGAATTTTTAATGATTAATAAATTGTAAATCAAAAGAAAGCTTAGTAGGCATATGTTAATGAAAATGTTCTCTAAAACTGATGGCTCTGTGATAATAAGTTTCCAGCAATCCATTGATCGAGCCAATTGAATCTCATCTTTTATCCAGTATAAAGTAATAAGTATTTGCCATGGATTTTGAGATGGAGAAAGGATAATCGGTAGGTTGTTACTCAGATTGCCTTGAGTATCAAGGTTTGATGTTGTCTCTAAGAGCAGAGGCAAACTTGTCATTAAAAAATCCAGGTGGCAATAAAACTATATTTCTATATTTCTATCACCAAATGACTCTCTGACAAAGTGGAGCACCAGACCATATTTTTTTAGTTGTTGTCAATATTATTAATATTAACGCTTATAAATAAGAAATATAGCAATATTGGATTCTATCCAACAAAATCCACACTAACGAAACGTTTTCAAGTCAATGAGAATATTGTCATTTTATGAATAACATCACCACTTTGTCTTGTTTATGGAGTAACAATTAGCGATAGCTTTTATAAACTGTTCTGACTTAACGAGAAGCTAACATTAATTCATTACGAAAAATCTTGTTACAGTGGCATGTTTTTTTGCCGCTCACCAATGCTGGTTAGGCTCACTCTACTGGCTTGTCGAAGGAGACAAGTCTTGTCAGAGCTCACTTTGCGATAGAAATACATATGAATTCCCAGCGTCATCCGGATTTTTGAAGGCTTATTCCTGCTCAATCCCAATTTCGGCGCTCCCAAATGAACAACTCTTTAAGACAAATTACTCACTTCGTTTTTGCTGTTCAGCAACATTGCGACCGACGAAGCGTAGTGCATCGAATGGATTCGAATCGAGTTGTTCTTGTTTCTCTTTGGCAACCATCTTGCCACTAAATTACTGAAGCACTAGTGTAATGCTTTTAGTAGTGCTTACATATCCATATCATGTATCCTTTGAAAAAGTTGCAAATATATATTAGCCGAAGAGTTTTTTCAGAATATTGTGCGTATAGAAAAAACTAGCAAATACTGTTAAAAGTTATAACTAATTCGGTAACTTAATGCGATGTGCTAAAAGCGCCATTAAATGCTAGCAAAACCTTATAAACTTTTTTACATAAAACTTTAAGACCTACTTAAAGGTTTTTCATCGTTAATGAACTTATAATGCACTTTATTGATTCATTTAGTTATTTCACTTTCTTAATGTATGAAAATTTTTCTAATAAGACCTTTCATAAAGAGAATTTACTTTAAATAGTTTTAATGACCTGTTCTCGAGATATATGATTGCAGAAGAACAAATCATGTTTCACGATCCTTGTGCGGACGTGGACAAAAGAGCAATGCGGAACGAAAACGCAAATAGCGATTTCAGTCCGTTAAAAAGTTAAAAAACTCTCCTTCCCTGAAGGATAATTTTGTTTGCAACTTCATCTATAACTGAAATCTTGATAATGAACCTAAAAGGCGGAAAGAGGCTCTGAAAATATATGTATATATGTTAGCAATCTAACAACAACTTTGCCGTTTCCCGGTTTAACTGCTTATTGATTTAGTTGCTAGTTATTAGATGTAAATTCTGCTGGAAGAATAAAGTCGAACTTACTTTATTGTTTTAATTTATTCAACTATTTATTTTTAAGAGAAAATTTTGCTGCTCATCCTCCACTTGGATTATATAAGATAACACTCGTATATAGCCGATTTTTCTGAGAAATTACGAAAAGAAATGCTTTTCTATGACCATCTAATTTTTTCCAACAAGTTAACAAGTAAGTTAATGTCTCTCACTTTGATCGTATCGCTCGACTTGTCTTTTGGCGATTTTTCCTTTTGCTTTTATTTTGGCATCATTTATTTTATATTATTTTTTAATATTTTATATCTGTAAAAATATTTCATTCGTTTTTTATTTAAAACGTTTTCATTTGGCGCTCTGTTAAGAAATCTATCGAACTTTTCTAATGGTGATGTATCTGTGCCTAGAATTATGGAAATTTTTTCCTTTTTTATAGTTAGAAACTTGCGAAAGTTACCAAGTATAAGGAATTGAATTAAATGAAATGAAAAAATTAATTAAATGAGAGAATCATTTTTGTTCGCAAAAAAAGAATTTAAGAAAGGAAGCGTTAATCCATATTTTCACTTTATTCTGATGTTGATAAAGTTAAAATTTGGAAAAAAATCATTAAAAACTTTTTACGACGACGTTCTAATGAGTTTGAACATTGAAAATTCAACGACGTTTCTTAGACGATTACTTAGATTTCATCAAGCAACTCCGCCATTTTTCAAAAATCCTTATGCTAACAAATATCTTATACGATTTTACCTTTTCTATCGTTTTTAGAAAACTTCAAATATTCCTGTTCTTCTTTTAATAGCATTCACCATTTCTAGTTTGGTCAGCTCCACTACTAGCCTTAGAACATAGAGAAGACTTTAGTAAAAATTTAATGGGATGAACGAAATCAAACAAATTTCTTGTAAAAAGCAAGCTAAGATTCAGTTTTTTCCTTGATTGACTTCATCCATTTTTAATTGGAAATATTAAAAGGAAAAATAAGTAGTGTAATGAAATTATATTTCGTGCATATAAATAAATAAAATAATATGAAAATTTTTTATTTTTTATAATATTTATTCTCTCACTTTCTCAATTTCACTGATTTAATTTCAATTATTAATTTATTAATTGGAAATTTCTAAATTCCATTTTATTGTTCTCTTCAAGCATCAAAAATTACTATATTTTTTATAGTTTGACCAGATAAACTGAAAGTTTCCACCAAGCATATCCGCTTAATCTCTATTTTAGGATTTCGCGTAAAATTTGCGATTTTCGAGAACCTTGGTTTTCGTTTTTATTCTTACCATTTTCTTATTTTCCATTACAACACTATTGTTTTAAAAATTAATGTTTTTCCTTGAATATTAATAATTTACTGCACGAAGAAAAGTTGTCAGTATAGAAAATCATTAATATTTGATTAAATTGAGGCTGTTTCCTTAGAATACATTTCACACAATCTTTTTGTTATTTATTATTGAATCTCTTCATTTTCTTATTGCTTGGATTAAAGAAGTATATTTTCTATAGTGGAAAAATATCTATTGAGAATGATATAAATAATATATGCAATTGGCTTGAGCTAGTTAATTTTATTGATTGCAAATGTGCATGGTAGGAGTATATTTTAATGAGGAATCATTACATAATAAGGGAGAATTTCGAGGATAGGGAGAACTTTAAAATCTTTAGCTTTATTTTTTATATGGAAAAAATAAGTAATAAGCATTTTGAATATTTTTGTAAATTAGAAAAAAATTTTTTGAAATCTGGTAAATGAAAATATGTTAAGAAATTCGTTAAAAAAATGGTTTTTTTTGCTTCGGCTAAGGTCAAGCATCGTAAATTCGATCACATTCCCTTGACAAGAGTAAAACGTTCTAAAAAATGAAAGTGAGTAATGCTCCAATTGTACTTCTATCCCCATGCGATTCTCTGGTGAAAGTCCCTCACAGTTAGCTCAGCCATCTAAATTAGAAATAGTACTACTATTAGAAGGAAGAATGGGATGCAACGCTACTTTTAAGCCGATGGTTGCAAAACTTTTGTTCTCATCATCGTGATAATTGTGTTATCTTAAAAATTTGATAAAAAATTATTATTCTTAGTCTCATCCTATTATTTCTTTTTTGAATCGCAGTTGGGAGTACAATTTGAAGGAAAGATTACAGTTGTTGTGAAAGAAATTGATCAGAACAATGCTCTTAAGATCATCGATATCAAATGTTCTGTGGAATTCGAGATTTATGGACTAAACGATCAGTAAGAAAATTCATTTTGATATTAACCATTAAAAAAAAGCCCCCTACAACATAGCATTAAAATAAAAATGATATTTGAGATGAAAAGAAGGAAGAAAAAACGAAAAATTTCAAAATTTTTATCAATTCTAAATCCATTCTAAACGTTAATTAGGTTTAACTAACTTCACTAACGACTTCAGTGTTTCACAAATCACTAGCAGTTTTCGTAAATTCTTCAATATATTCGAAAATTTATTTCATGAAAAAAAAATGAAAATTCTCATTTGAATGTTAAAAGCAATGTATCGAAAAAAAAGCGCCTAATTTTGAATTTCTTCAAAATTACTTCGTTACCTTATTAGAAAATTATTTATTTATGTATAAAGTCACATGTTTATTATTGTGTTTAAAATATATTATTATCAAAATAATTTGATTCTGACTGATTCACAATTAAAGCTATAAATCGAACTTAAATTTGCAAAAAATATTTTCATTATGCAGTTTTTCGTAAATATAGAGAAGTTTATGATGATTTTACGAAGCTTTTTTCTTTTAAGTCTTTTAATTTTCAAAATTTTAAATTAAATATATTAAAATTTATTTCAGCATTCTTTTTCTAACACCATTTACCATTTCTGGTTTGGTTAGTCCACTAGCTATTAGGATGACATCACTTGGCTAAAGTATCACTTAGAGTTATAGATAGACACCACCGATTTTATTATTCACCGTAGGTTTGCTCCGTCAGTGGACGGAAACCTATGACACTCATCCTGATCAAGACAATATCATTTGGCTCTATTTCATTTTTTACTGTTTTCATGCACCGTTTTTTGTTCTTCCCAGCAGAATGATTTTTTCGAAGGTATAAAAGCTCTAAAGTATTATTATACAATAATGCGTATATATATATATATATATTTAAGATATAAATTAATGCGCATACTTTATGAATATCTCGTTCATGCTTATTTCTTAACAATAATAAAGCTTTCTGAATTATTGAAAATATTTTTCGTTGATGATGATTTTAAATATTAGCTGAAAAAAATTAGCTGAAAAAACTGCCAAAGTTAGCGAAAAAGAAAAATGAGCGGTCTGTCTGTATATATTTGCCATTTGTTTAATCGCTGTCAATTTCACGCGAAATTTATAAGACGTATTTACATTTAAAAATTTCATTGTGCTATCTGTCATGTTTTTTATTTTTATTCAATTATTCGAACCACCGAAATTAGGTGATATGAGAATATGATAAATGATAAAATAAAAGAGTGATATTGAAAAAGAGAGTTTTTTTTCTGAACGCGCGCCGTTTATGTCCTCATTAGCCTCATCTTGATATCATTTAGTCCTTGTTTAAGTGTAATTCTCATAAAACGTTCTAAAGTCATATATGTAAATTGAAAAAAATTTCAAATAACCTTAGAAGTTATAAGAGTTAAATTGATGGATGAAAGAAAATTTATTTTCAATATTTGCCATTAACAGCTAGAGGAAAGTAGAATTTATAAGTACAACAACTTTAAAATGGCTCATTGATCAAATTCGTTTTGTGATGATATCACAACAGTTCTCTCAGTGAAGTCTTTCGACGAAGTCTTTCATTTTGGAATTATTCGGAATTAAGTATTATGCATTTGAGCTGTTGACAATTAGTTCAGTGAAACAACCGAAGAAAAGCTATTATGGATCAGTCACATCGTTTTCGATTATTAAGTCGATTACTATTAAGAAAACAAATGAAAGTAAATACGCCGGTATATTATACTAAATTTATTTTTATATTGAATCAGTAAGTAAAATTTTTTTTCTTTGGTTTCCTTAAATTTATGCTAGATTTATTCCGAGATTACCTTTTAGCGATATTTTTGATAATAGAAACGAAATCCGCAAATAGAAGCTAGTAAGCCTCTAAAGTTTCCTTTCCGTTTCATTTTGTTAATGTAAGCCAGTTTTGTTCAAATATACTGTGAAAAGAAATAGCAAATGGTTTATAAAGATGATCTCGTTTCTTTTGTTCTTAAACATAAAACAATGAATGTTGAATGAAATGAGTGAAATCGATGAGTTGTGATTAAATTTCAGATTATTTGCAGATAAAACGATAATTCTTAGGAATTAGCTAATATTTTTCGAGATTTCTGAGAAAGATCTCAATATAATTTCGAATTTTTTAATGCTTTTCCTTCTTAAGGTTTGTCCTAGTTAAATTGCGCTCAGAAATTTGCCGTCTTAATTTTCTGCTCCAGGTGCCGAACGGTGAAGGCAAAAGCCACTAGGGTCGCAAATCAAAAAAAAAAAAAAATTCAAAGACGAATATGAATAACCAGTGAATTAAAAATTCAACAAAACAGTCCATAATTCAATAGTTTAATCAACAGTTCAACAAAAATCAGTAAAAAAATTAAATTAAATCAGAACAAAAACAAGAAGATAATGAACAAGCGACAACCTGGACAAGGACCGCCAAAAGACCAGTGGAATTACCTATAAATAATTTTTGACCATTCAGGGAATGGATAAATACACTAGGAAGGCGAGCTAACTTTGAAAGAAGCTTTTGCTTTTGCTATCCGGCGGCATCAGTCCAAGTATTTTACTGTAAATTACATTTCTATTTTACTATATTATATTTTTGCCTGTTGCAACAATACTTTCAATTCTATATTTGTCTTTTCTTTTAGATCAGAAACGATTTTAAAAATTGGATTTAATATTTTAACATTACTTTTTGTCATATCAGAGGATTAAAAATATTTAAAATGGCTTTTTAAAAGATATCTTTTTATTGCAATACAATGAATTATTCTTCGGCGAGTTAAAAAAATGGATTTTCTCGTCTTATTTTTGAAAAGAATAACTTAATAATTTTTCATAGTCGACAATGATGAGCTTTAAATTCTCATTTTTTTTTTTAATTTGAAAATTTAAAGACGATACTAATTACTAAAGTTTTGTTACATGTGTATAAGTAAACGAAAATTGCTTTTAATTTTTTAAATTTGTGATATGAAATTCAAACCCATTGTCAAATTTTGCCAAATGCCAAATTTTACTGCGAAATGTGAATTGTAAATTATTTATTGAAAACCAGCCAAGCAGGGCGCAAACGCCATGTGCTTATATTAATAAGAACAGTTAAAATAATAAGCAATAAGAATTAATGACAAAAGCAAGAAAATAATAAAATAAACAATTTAAAGATGAAATAAAGAGGATATTGCAAAATAATATAATATAATTAATTCGAATTAACTATAATCGGATGGTAAAAATCGAGATTTCGCACTTCCTGCATGACGTGAATTTTTTAAAATAATATCTATCATAAATGATATTATCTATTCTTTTTTTAAAGATAGTTAGGGATGACGCGCAAGCTATGTTGTTCCATAATTTATTCCTGAAATTAATATTACGAATAAAGAAATCATGAGTCCTTAGTTTGGTTTTACACATAGGTGTTGTAAATTTAACCTAAAATTATTATATTTTGAACAATCTAATTTAACATAACCATACAAAATCATATAAGTATAAATTAAATCTTGTTTAATACGATGAACTAACAGAGAATCCAGGTTATATTGTAGAAGTTTTCGTTTATAATTAAAATCGCAATCAGCAGAGAGGCGCCGTATAAAATATTTTTGGAGTCCTTTAATTATTTAACTTGATTTACGATATCTCGGGGAGTAACATGTAGCATTGTAGTCAAGAAGTGGCAGAACGAACTCTTTGTACATTTTGATAGGAAATTCTTCAGTTTTGTTCTTAAACGAAGAAAAAATAAAATTTAGTATCTTTGATGATTTCTTTACCATGGTTCTTCTGCAGTGAAGGTCAAAATCGAGATTTTCATCCACGATTATATCCAGATCGTAAATGGTAAATGTGTAAATGTGTAATGTGCTATCTGTTCTACCACGAAAATAATAAATTATACAATCATCAGTATAAAGATAAATGGTAATAGAAAAAGCAATGGCGCAATACAACTACCTTGGGGAACACCAGATTTAATAGGTTTGCGTCAGAAAGAGGAGTGTTATTGATGAGTACGGCTTGGTGACGGTCTTTTATAACATATAGGCGATGAAATTTTTTAAAATAAATTTGTAATGCCACTGATCAAACAAAATAATGTTTTTGTCACTTCGAATTCGTCTTTTTGCAACAATCTTCCGTTGAAAATCGTTTTAGTTCTTTCTCAAGAAATGAATCTAACGTTCCGTCTGAGTTTATAGAAGGTTAGCTTATTTAGAATTAGAATTAACAAGCCACATGGAAATAGTTCCAAACAAAGAATCAAGTGAAATTTTTAAATGTACTAGTAGCATATTAAAAATTTTCATATCATCACTCATTGCAAAATTTTGTGGAAAAAATTTTGGAACGCATAATTTAATCCGAATCTGAAGATTCGAGTTAAAATCCAAGATGGCGTTTTATGAAATGATTTTTTCCACGAAAGCATTGAAAATAATCGAATCGATGACTCTGAGAACGCATAATTTAATCCGATGTTGGGGTTGGCTTCTACATCCAGCGAGAGTAAACCTATCCGCGTGGTATTGACAAGTCACTATATGCATATATATATTTTTAAAAAATATGTATTTTTCCTCACCATTACTGGTTAAACTCGCTCCACTGGCTTATCGTATTGGGTCATATGCCAATGAGTCCCTTGGCGTTAGAATGACTGGTGAGTCGCCAGCATCACTCTGATTTTTGTACAGGTTTACTCCTGCGTGGAATCGAACCTCAGCATCGGCGCTCCCAATCGAGGAACAACCCCCTGACTCATTCTACCCCCAAGTTTTTTTTAGCAAATCCAGCTTTAACTCAATTTAAAAATTTGGAAAGAAAAAGCAAAAAGTGATGGAATTTGGTCATAAGTCACATTCAACTCACAGCAAAAAAATTAAAAATTTTACGAGTAAAAGTGAATTTTAAAAATTAAGATTATAGTTGCTAATAACATAATAATATGACCTAGGACGAAGACATGATCGAAATGATTGGAGCTGAAGGAAATCTGAATGACGAGTTAATTATTTTGGGATTTATCGGTCGAAGTGATAATTCATATGGCACCACGCCGATGTGCAGTACTCCAGCATGGAGGTTAGTTAGTTTGTCCAGTGTTTTGGTAAATTGAATATTGAAATTAAATTTGTTAAGTATTGATAAATAAGACATCCCAAACAAAATTTATGCATTCTGTATTGCTATTTTATATATTGCTATTCTCATTAATAATAAGCCTTTACAGATGGCATTTTTAAGATGAAGATGAAGAATAAGGAATGGAGAAGGAAGAGGGCTGTTAGCCTAAATCTATCACGTGGTGGAAAGTAGATTAAGTAATTTCGTTCGTTTTCCTCTCGCAGTAGATCTTTTTACATTCTTCTGCTAATGCAAACAGTAAATGAATGGACGTTTATTTTAAAGCTTGGTGTTCAAATATCATAGCAATTTTAACTTTTTGGATAGAAATAATTATCGATTTTACTTAAAGTTCATAAAAGTGCACAATCTATTGCTTGTCTATGTAAATTTCATAAACGCGAACAAAAAATTGCTTTTTTCAGAACCAATTTTTAATGAATTTTGGAAGCTATTTGGTAGAAGTTAGGGGAGATTGATACAATAAGTTAAAATTTAAAATTTTAAATGGGCGACAGTCTTTATGGCCAAGGATTTTGCTACATTTTGCTTCTGACTTCACCTCGATCAAGCGAAGACTTTTTCGGAGGCTTCGACTCCAAAGAAAATAAAAACTGTGGTTGTAAATGATTCCAGCAACAGCACCGGCTTTAGAGCATAGTAATAGGTTCAACAAAATCTAATCTTATTCTGGAATAAATATAGAATTTTATAAAGTGACTGGCGATAATCCTCAGATTTAAAAATTTTAGCCGTGATTTGGAGGCAACAGATAGTTCGTTAGATCGAGTGGTTGCTGAATCCAGTGTTTTTTATGGGCAAACTAGTTTTATTGATGGAGTACTCCTCAAATGCGCTGATTTGAAACGTGAGAACCCAATTCAATTTTTTTTCTGATTGCTATAATAGTTGTAATAGTATAATAACAAATCTAAGTGAACCTGTAATAATGGATATTTATTGGATATATTTATTAACTATTTATTAAATATTTAATAGAATAATGCTGATAGTGCACAAAATCTTGCTGATCGATTTTCACATCTTAAAAAAGTGCTTATCACATTTTTTGCTCCTAAATTCACAATTATTTCGCTTATAAAAGATGGGATATCGTGTTGGGATTTTCAAAATGACATCACTATAAGAAAGAGTAACAAAGTGGATGTTGCTTGGATTGCCAACTCGGTGATCCAGAGTCTGTTCTCTAGAAATAATAAATCCAATGAAAATTCGTGCGCCACTCATACTGAATCATCATTGCCAGGTGCACCGACAAAATTTCTAACTGTATTGATATCCCAGTGAGCTTAACCAGAAACAAAGGACGCTAACAACTTATTTTATCTACTTACGAAACCTACGAAAGAAATTGAATACCGAATTCTTTTATTTGCAAATATTTATAGAATTATAAATTATATATCTATATATATAAATACTTTGGGCCCACTCTATTACCAGATGGACAGGCAAAAGATGATATTATAACTCGGATCACGGCAGCTAGAAATGCGTCCTTCCGGTTGACGAAAGCTTTCTGGAGTTCTGAAATCATCATAAAAACGAAAGTCCGCATCTATATAGCCGTGATTCATTCGATCTTGCTATATGGCTCTGAGACATGACCAATGAGAGTGGAGGATATATGCCTTTGACCACTCTTGTCTAAGGTACATATTACGGCTGATAAAATATAACATGATCGCATCCATCTTCGTTCAGATACCACCTGCATTAATAATGCTATCACAGAGCGTCGCTTTCGTGGTTAGGGCATGTTTTCCGTCGTGCACCACATTTAATGCATATTTCATTACTCGCTAAAGCCTGTGATGGGTGGCATTAAAAACGAAGTGGACCTGGATTGATACAGTCAGAAAAAATTTTGGATGTATAGGTAGACCAGTAATATATGGACTTGGACGATGGAAAAAGAAATGGTTTCTATTATTGTCGACGATAGCATCAGAACGCGCCGCTTGCAAACGTCTTACCCTTATAGCTGTTGGAGCCAGACTAACCAGTAATAGTGAGAGCTGAGAGTTAGAAGAAGAAGAATTATAAAAATATAATAAGCAAACCTATTGAATTTCGGTTAATTTTCCTTGGAGCAAGTCAAAATTGATGAAACAAGTTGATATTTTATAAGATTGGATGCCAAGTTTAGTAAAACAGTGATAGAATTGATAAAGGCTTAGGCTGTTATAAATGTTTTCCGATATTATCTTGGCTAAAATCATCTGGCGAAAATCATGCTTTATTTATTTAAGATCAATTCCACATGAACAGTAAAGTTCAAATGAAATGTTGGCTTCAATAAGACAGTAATGATTTTAAATCAAATTCAGACATCCAGACAATTTATAGCATTTTTCACATTGTGCATAACCTTCCAATTTCCAAAAATCTGCGATTCCTGAAATAATCCTATTTCGAATGAAATTTTGCGTAAAATGTGCAATAATTATCACTGTTATCATCAAAAAGTCGATGTTCACAGTAGTAATGGATCGTCTGATCGTTACATTTTATGCTTTAGATCACTTTTGAAAATCATCTACTAAAAAATCGAATGGTGCTGATAATTCGCCTGTGCCCAAATGTCTTTTTTGATAAAATTGTTTTATCCTTCTGATACAACTAATAATTGGAGTGAGCTTAACCAGAAATGGTGAATACTAACCACTTAAATATTAAGTATTAAATATTAAATATTCAGATTTTGTGTAATTTTGGATAAAAAATTGCGTTTGCTTATTTAATGAAAACACCGAATTTTTTCCTCCAGCAATTGTCGTTTGACATAATTTTTCAGCATTATTCTCATTTTTACATTATTCGCTTATCAAGCAACTACAAAATCAAGCGCCTATCGAAGAATTAATTAATGAACTAAATTCTGGAAAAAAATCATTATTTGGTATGTTAATTCTACAGTTTCTACAGTTATTTTACTTTTTGGCAATATTTTGTAGATCGTAACATTCTTTGTAGCATAACTGATTATTAGCAATTTGCAAATTTGAGCATATGAAATTGACATATGAAATTAAGAAATCAGTGTGAGATTTCCCACATTCCTTGATTTTGACTTAGATCTTGACTTTCAGTTGATTTTATGGATTAGTCTTCTTGAATAATGATGTAAATTTTAGCAAAATTTTGAAATTTAATTTTGAAATCACTTAAGTGAAACCTATTCCAGCCCTATAAAGATTTGGCTTTACTTCGAAGAAATGTTTATTTCAGTGAGAAGAAGAAAGTAGAAGAAGTTTCATAGTTTTCAGTCTGCTGTATTCATTACGTTCAAAAAAATAATTCATTTAAAAAATAAGGGTAAACGCCCTTATAATAATTAGAGCACAATTAGTAAAAAAATTAGTAAGTGGTTTGCTTTCAAGATTTCTGATTATCTCTGTTGCCTCATAGTGTTCTTGGAAATTTTTGTCACTTTGCGATGGAAATACAGAAATATAGCCATATTTCCAGTATTTTTTAGCAATTTTTTAATAAGTTTATTCTTGTCGAGTATAGGATTCGAACCCTTATATTTGCTGCCTACTGAGATATTCAGTAACTAAAAAACTAAATTGTTTCTTCCTCTTCTGACAGCTCTCACCACTACCGCTGAGGCTAGCTGCAAGGATAAAGTGTTTCAAGCTGTTCGATTCGATATCATAGCTGATAATAATAAAAGCCAATCCTTTTTCCATCATCTTAGTCCATATTTCGCTGGTCTACCTGCACGTTTAAAATCTTTCTTGACTGTAAGTCCAGGCATTGATTGACCCTCATCACTTTTGGCATCATCCATCACAATAATGAAGAAATTAAATAATGAAGAAATAAAATAAATTTAGCAAGTAATGAAATATGTGTCAACTCCTGTGGTGGGCGATGAAAAACAGGCACTAACCAGCGAAGGAGGCGTTCTATGATAGTACTGTTAATGCAGCTATTTGAGCGAAGATGGATGCATTTATGTGAGATTTTATTCCGATCATCGAACTCGTAAAATATATCTTAGACATGAAGGTCAAGGATAGATAGATAACTTTTTAACATCCTCCACTCTCATTGGTCTATAGAACTGTATGGATGCAGACTTTCCTTCGACGGTAATTTCGCGACGGCTCCATGAAAATTTCGCTAACCGGAAGAACGCATTTCTAGCTGCCGTTGCCCAGGTGTAATTTCATCCTTTTGTTAGCCATTTGGGTTTGGACTGGATCCATGATATTTGAAGTCGGGAATTTTCTCAACCGGCAATGAATTGATAGAAATAGGTATTTTATCGACTTCTTGTAAATAAGACAAAAAAACTTACGTTTTATTTACACTGATCCTGAGTTCGATTGTCACTGCAGTTGTTTACAAATAGTTTAGCATTATTTGCATTTCAACGAGAGGGACTACGCATTCAAGATCTGCGAAACAATACTCTGGACTGATTTGTACATGTCTTGAGTGCCGACAAACGCTGTTCATTATCCAGTGTATCGCATATTTGAATACTGTGAGGAAAGGAATACAGCCTTAAAACCAGTTCTCATTTTCAAAGTCTCTCAGTTCCCCATATGCTGTACAGATCTGGGTCGATGTACGCCGGTTAAATGCCTTTGCAAGTTGAATGATCTCGTCTGGAACATAGTTACCTGAAACAAATAACGGCAGATTGCTGATATTTGAAGCGATTTTTAGCATCCTTGTTAACGTGAATATCTGGTCAGCACAAAGAAGCCCTGGTCTAGGCTTGCTTAGGGCATGCGAAAATTCTCCCGGAAATGTTTAGCAGGCTAATTCCTTGGCAATTACTACAGCATGTCGTTTCACCTTTCTTGGGAATTGAAAATAGAATTACTTCTTTCCCATCTGGTATTATTTCTTTCTTCCATACCAGAAAATTGAAGGTGAAAATTGAAGGTTATGAAGAACGAAGGGCAACATTTGAAGAATTCAGCTCGCAGCTCATCTTATCCGAGAGTTTTACTTGTCTTAAGCTTCTGTATAACAGAGATCATTTCCTGTTCTGCTGGCTGCTCGCAGTTGTAAATATATGGCTAGACAAGTGATGTCCGGGACAACAGATGGCGCATAACGGTCTAGCCTCAAAGAATTCCAACTTAAGATGTGATCCTTGATAGTTTTAATGAGAACACCATACCGTACCATTTTATTGTCCGTTCCCCAAGTTATAGTTGCTTCATTAAGAATACTTTTCTATTGTTGCCCAATCGAACTTACACCTCCATTCTCAATGCCATCTCGCTCCAACTGTGATTAATATCCTGCCGTGCTGCTGTTGTTGCAATTCTTCGAAGCACTCAATAGCCAAGCTCTCCTGTTAACAACTTTTCCAGACAGTTAGAGAGTTGCTTTAGATACCCAACTATCGCACTTCCTACTGGCATATTTTAGCTGACTTTAAATGATAACCCTTCAATTGCGACCAGTATTCATCTGCCATTTCAGAAGTCGATATTTATATCACTGAAGAGCTGCAATAAATCGGTTTGAAATACGCTCACTATCCCCAAATTTTTTAGTTTGAGAAAATTGTTGTCAACCTTATTAATGATCATTGATGCGGTTGCATAAAATTTGTTTCAACCGTTTTTAATTTTTCTATATTTCTATATTTAAATATTTGAATTTCGTTTTTTTCCTTCATTTTCCGAAAACGTATACATATATATTCTTTCATTATTTCATTTAAACGCAAGGAAAATTTGTCAGATTCCATAATTTTCTTCTGATTGACGAGAAGCAGCGACTAATAAATCCCATGTATAAGAAGTGCATTTTTGTTCAGCCGGCAATGAAACTCCATAGAAACACAAACATGATTCCTCGTAATCCACCTTAATTATAAATTTTTAAAACGGTCCAATTCG